TCATCATCTTGTTCTTCTCCTTCTTGTTCATCTTCTTCTTGTTCATCTTCTTCTTGTTCTTCTTGTTCTTCTCCTTCTTCTCCTTCTTCTCCTTCTTCTCCTTTTTCTCCTTTTTCTCCTTCTTCTTTTTCTACTTCTTCTCCTCCTCCATCACTATCCGATGAGGATCCTAGAGTTTCACTACTCTCCTCACCGTCTTCTTTCTCCTTCTCGCCGCCGGTCTCCTCCTCTGCCACAACCGCCGGCGCCTCACGGAAATCGGCCAATGCTCCTTCTTCCTCGTTTACTTCTGGAGGTATCTCTTTCTCCCCGGCCGGCGGAGAATTCTCATCCGCCGAGAGAAACTCTTCGTCCGCCGCTTTGTCTACTTCTCCTTCCCCAATGGGTTCTTCTTCGGCCGCTTTTGCTTCTTTTGCTACTTCCGCCGCTTTTGCTTCTTCGGCTTCTTCCGCCGGCGCCGCTCGCACCAATGCTTCTTCAACCATTTCTTTCTTCTTTCCCCTTCTTGTTTCAACCATACTTCTTCCAATCAATGTCAATACTCAAGATGATACTCGATGATTGCTCAAAATGGAGAGAAACTGAGAAAAACTACTCGAATTCAAATCTCTAAGGAGTTCTCGACACTTAGAGAGAAAAAGAGAAGAAGAGGAAACGGTTCGATTAGGGATTGGAGTTTTTAATTTTTTCAAATTTTTGTTTTTTTCTTTTTTATTATTTCGGGTTTCTGGGTTATATTAATGGGTGGGTGGATATATCCAGGTTTTTGATGTAATAATACAGTTTTGACGAGGATACAGTTGTAATTGAAGTGTTTTTCGATTTAAATAAAAAACAAAAAACAAAGAAAGAATAGAAAGGGAGAATAGCGATTGTTCCTCCCCAAATAAGGGCACACGAGACGATTTCTCGTCTGCTTCACAGTCGCCAAAAGCTGGAACTCGCCATCGTCGTTTCTTCCTCTATGGAAGATTGTTGTTCTATCTGTAATTCGTCGATCTCGTCGTTGTTAAAATTGGGGAACTCTTTGTTGCTAGGTTCTATCTTGCATACGTTTCTCAACTCCAAATCGCCTCATCTCAACATCAGTCATCCATAGAGACAAGAGATTATTCACGCTGAAATCGTTCAAAATTGTGGTCGAGTCCAGATTCAGGTATCATGCTTCAATCCTTGTTTTTGCTTCCTCATGTTGTCTCCTCTGTTGTATTCGTCATTTTTGCCCCTAGATCTAAATTCGCGAATAAAAGCTTGATTTTCAAGCGATTTAGAACTTGATTCGCTCCTCTTGTATTGATTTCTTCTAGCATGATTATTTTCATGCGATTTAGAGCATGATTCACTCTTTAGTTGGCTTCATTGAAATCTGTTAAGCTTTTGATTTGATTGTTAATGAAAAATTGGCTCAAGGATTTGAAATTCAGTTTGAAATCTGAAGCAAATCAACAAGAATTGTTGATTTGTGGTGTTCGAGTACGTTTTAATCTAATCTAGAAGAGCATCGATTGAGACTGACATGTGTTTTTAATTCAATGTTAGCTTGAAATTGAATTTGATTGTTGGATGCAAGTTTTTGAAGATGTTAACGGTAGATTCTTGGGTTTAGACCTAACAATGGTGGGCATGGGCATGGATTTGATTTCTCGTTTTCAAATCTTTGTTGCTTATATGATTTTGTTTGGTCGTGATATTATTGATTGTAACAGTTAAGAGCTGCAGCCTGCAGTCACGAGTGGAGAAGAAGGTAGCAATCTCTTTTGTGATTTGAATGAAGGAATACATAGGATTAAGAGTGAAGTAGTACCACGTGAGGAAGGAGAAGTGAATACATAGAACTGTGTCACTGGTGTCCTCATCTTCACTCCCGATTTCCTCTTCTTCGTGAGTTGTCACCACATTTCAGTGCATAAGCTTCACATGATGATGAATTGGTTTGATCTTGTACTTGTTTAATAACAATCTTTGAATATATATATATATAACATGTTTATTAGTAATATACATTAGAAGTGAGAAAGAAAACATTATTATGGATCACTAATGGAGGACATGAAGTCAAAACATGTGTTTCATAAAATTAAGTAATTTAATAGCGTATATATTGGAATCTTGATGTGTATTTGTTATAAAACTCTTGTCTCATGTTTAATAACGTGCATATAGATTGGAATCTTGATTTGTATTTGCTATAAAACTCGTATCTTATGTTTGCAGGTGGAAATAATAACACTCTTGTCTCCCTATTTGCAGGTGGAAGGTCAATAACACAAGAACTAAAAGTATAACACTCTTGTCTTTTTTGTTATGAGTTTGCTTCTGTTTTTGCAGGAAGTAGATTTCGGTTGCTTAATCATTGAGTTGTTGACACTACAAAATCCATATTTTGATTTATCTGATGTTCAGATTCATGCTCTGTTCTTGTTTGTTGTTCTCCAAGCTAGTTGTGTTCTCCTTCATGGATGCTTTGAGGTTTGCCGGAAGCTTTGAGACGGTTGGGAGAAATGGAAATGTCATGGTCATTGATGTCTCAGTTGGTTGAAACTGGAAATGAAGGAGCAGCACTGTGACACATAGAGTGAAGAGCTTGCTATATCATATTTGTGTGTGTGTGTGTGTACTGATCATAAAATATTAAATAGTGGAATGTAACTGCTTGTTGTATCATAAAAAAATAATAGTGTCTACATGCACATTATGTTGGTCTTGTTATAACATTGACAGTTTTTAAATCAGTTATACAGTTAAACACCTTAAAAAACTTTAATACAAAGTTAAACACCTTATAAAACCTTTTAAATACTTTTAAACCCTTATAAAAGACTTATAAAATCTTTATAAGACCTGTATAAAAGCCATGTAAAACCTTATAAAAGCCTTGTAAAACTTTTTATAAATAGTTTTTAAAACTGTAATATACATTTAAACACCTTTTAGAACCTTTTAAATACTTTTAAAAACCTTATAAAAGCCTTATAAAATCTTTATAAAAACTTTATAAAACCTTATAAAAGCCTTATAAAATCTATATAAAAGCCTTGTAAAACCTTATAAAAGCTTAAATATGGTTTTTATAAAAGCTTAAATATGGTTTTTATAAGGTTTTATAAGTTTAAATATTGTTTTTATAAAGATTTTATATGGTTTTTATAAGATTTTATAAGTTTAAATATGGTTTTTATAGGTTTGAAAAAAATAAGGATTTTATAATGTTTTTATAAGGTTTTGAAAAGATTTTTTATGATTTTTAAGTAGTTAATTATAATAGTTTATAAGGTTTTTATATGGTTTCTATAAGGTTTTATAAGATGATTTTAATAAGGCTTTAAAAAGCCTTGTTAAAACTTTTACTTCACAATTTAAACTTCTTATAAAAATCTTATAAAAACCTTGTAATAATTTTTAAATACTTTTTAACACTTTAATACACATTTTTAACACCTTTTAAATATTTTATAAAACCTTTTTTAAGTATTGTAAAACCTTATAAATATCTTGTAAAACCTTATAAAAACTTTATAAAAACCTTGTAAAAGCCTTACAAAAACCTTGAGAGTGTGTTCACATTCACAATGCTTCAGCTTATGTGTTCACATTCATAATGCTCCAGCTTATGTGTTAGGGTCACTTAAGAACCACAAATTTTGTATGTAAAAGGTTTTACAATCTTTTGAAAACCTTAGAAAATGTTTTACAAGCTTTTTGAAATGTTTTACAAACTTTATAAAAACTATAGATAGATAGCCAGAGTTAAGATGAACCCATTTGAAAATTTTTTACAAGCTTTTTGAAAATGTTTTACAAGCTTTTTCAAATGTTTTACAATCTTTTAAAAGCTTGTATACTCCTTCCTTTGGCATATAATTTCCTGTCCTGAAATTAAAATTCTAAAATACAAATTCTAGAGTTTAAAACAACAAAAACACAATATCTTTCTACGTACAAGAGTAAAAAAAAAAAAGAGAAAAGCTTGTAGTACCATTATATATGCAAAGAGGTGACAATTATGTTTACAATTAACTCTCAAGATATAGAAAGCCTCTTAACCTATAATCATATCTCAATTGCTGATCAGCCATCAATCTATTGTTTCAAATTCAGTTGCAGATTTACAGAAAGCTTTCAAGAAGAAGCTACATCGTAAAGTGCAGCAGAAGAATCTGAGAGAGTATGAGCCACTGCAATAAAGTCACTTGCGTCACAACATTTACAAGTCAAAGTCTCTTGGAGTGAAAGAGATTTTCAACATTGTGCATCTCTCCTCCATTGGCTATAGTCTCATGTGTTCCAACATCAAACTGAGATTCACCTGTCACCATAAATTTACATCTTCTCTGCACAAAAAAAAAATCCAAATTGAGAAATTGATGCCTAAGTGCCATTAAACACAACACCAAAAAACAAATGCACGAAGGAAAATAAACGAGTAGCTCAAAGCAAATCAATTTGTCATTTTTCAAGAGCTATAAACATTACAACTAATAAAATCATGAGACCAATTACTCGTAACAGATTTCAGATCATCAGATCAATAACTCGATTCAGATTTCATCACTCTTAGACTTGGTTCAAAACCATGAGATTCCCGATAGCCCATATACACAATTCAACAATTGAGAGTTTCCATGATATGAAAAGCAATAGAATTGAATCTATGATGACGAAAGATCAAATTATTGAAGAGTCAAAGAAGAACAAAATGAGTGAATACTGAAATCGAGACACTTACTTTCGTGTATCGCATGAGGGAAATCATTTGCTTAGGCGAGGTAGAGAGAGAGAAGAGATCACGGCGTTGAAGACAAGAACACGGCGAGGACAGACGAGAGCACGGCGATGAGAGACGAGAGCACGGCGATGAGAGACGAGAGCACGGCGATGAGAGATGAGAGCACGGCGTTGAAGACGAAACTCGTGAGAGATCGTCGGCGATGAAGACGAGATCGTCGTTCGTCGACATCAAAGATCGTCGAGAGACTGTTGACGAGATAATGAAATTTTTAGGTTAAATGATTTAAGGACAGTATCGTATTTTTTGCACTAAAACAAGGGTATTTTTAAAAATGCTTTTCTCACTGGGGCATTTTTAAAAAGGTAATCTTTAAAAGGGGTATTTTTAAAATTGTCCCAAAGAAATAATCAGAGTATAAACAAGGAGACAAACAACCTGATGGTTGGTAACAAATGAGCTGCCCTGTTATAAACCCTTTTTAACAAAAATTAAATCGACTTGTTTAAATTTAGATGCCCAAAAGCATATATGTATCGTGATAAAGACCAGCTATATCAAAATATTAAACAATTTGGCATTTAACATTTTACTAAGAACCTTACAATCACCCTCAAAACAAATCGTTGAGAAGCCTCGAAATCCAAGCTTGTTGTAAAGCTGTCAGTAATGTTTTGCCTTCCGCCTCTAATAGGGATCGTGCAGTATTCTCAAAACGCCAAAATTATTGTTTACTAGATGCATAATTTTTTTTTCTTACCTTAAAATACATATTTTTTTCTTCCTATTTACCATTTTTATAATCTATTAAAAATGGTATGTTATGGATGAAATCACGTTTCAAAAATATCAAAGAATCATATATGTACTATGATCTATCTTAGTCATTTCATTGGTAATAAATTTACAAATTCTAACTAATTAGTAAAGGCTGTCATAATTTGTCTTATTTGAAATTTAGTAACTTTTTCTGCTTCGAAATATAAATTTATCATCTTAAACACTACTTAATTATTTTAAATAAATTTACAATTTCATTATTTCAACCATTATAACTAATTCAAAATTCACCCCCAAGTCAATCTTCTAAATATAGTATAATTAAAATATATGAAAATATTTTTGTTCATTCCTTCTATTCAAAATTTGACTAATCTTAAATGTAACATTTGGTTCCAATAGAATTGTTTGCAAATCCTCACTAAATTTATTAAATAATGTAATGAATGAAAATAATCTATGAGCTCATAGTCATTTTAGATCAATTTTTTTTTAATCAATAGCATTTTAAATAACTTGCTTCTCATGTTAATAATGATTAGCAAGTCATCAAGACTTAAGTGAGATATTATAGTAATCCACAATTTAGATACTTTTGTAAACAGTATAATCACCATTAGCCAAAGGCCCATCATAGCTTCTTCGAGCCGGCTCGTTTCGTGTTTTTACTAAATTACCCTTTAATTCACTATGAAGAGGTATGTATTTCTCAGGGGTTATTGATGGGTAAGATGGTAATTTCAAGAGTCATAGTTTCATCGCCGATCAAAAACAAGCAACGAACCGAACCGAAGCGGCCTTTGGTTTTCGCTTCGATCCCTTCCTCTCATGGCTGTTGCACGAGGCGTTGCTTAATTTCGATTTCGAGCTTCCTCTTTGATGAACTCGTTGAAACGATCTTAATCCTCAAAATCTTTGATCTTTTGTTGTTGGGATTTGAGTTTTTATTTTTATTTTTGTTGTTGTTCCCTTTTGCCGCGGTTTTTGATTCAGAGGTACGGGCTGTTTCGTTTCCCTTGTTCTTTGATCTGGGTTATTAGGGTTTTATTTATAGCAACTAATTTGTTGATTACGCTGCTTGTGTAAGATTGTTTTTAGTTGGTTTATGTTTGATTCAGTTCTCTCCTAGGGTTTCGTGTTTTAGAGTATACAGGGATTGGTAATTCTTGGTTCAATGTTGAATAATTTTGCGGGTTTTGTGGTGATGAAGTTAGATTTTGGTGAAAGTATCAATCTTTAGAGAGGATCAGTTTGAATTGTAGTTAAGCTTGGGAGATAATTTGTTTATAAGTTGGGTGATGTATTTTTATGATTCATAGACAATGCAGATCATTTGTGATGACGGCAACTATGGAATTTTACTTTTATTAAATTTCCTTGGGGTTTAGTTATAGAGAATTCATTGGATAGGTGATTTAGTTGTCTAATTGTGTCTGAAAACTGGAGGAAGTTTTCCACACATATCACCTGGATTCTCTGTAAGTGAAAGGAGGATAGTTTCTGGAAGTAGATTTAGAATGGTTTGAATGGCATCTCTGCTCTTGCTTAGTCCGTTTTCGAATCTTACTAGAGGTTTTGCATTTTTTTTTGTATCTTTTAGTGCATTCCCGTGTTGGTTTTAGTTCTTAAGTTGCGGTAGATTAGTTACAGTAATTAGGAGAAGATTTTCTTTTTGTTAAGTATTTTAACATGGTTGTGGTAGTTTTTGTGTAAAGATCATAATGAATGTTTTTGGCTTGTAAAGCCAAAAATATATGCAATGACTGTATGAAGAAACCAGATTAGTCTGAAACCACGTAAAGGGATTCCTGTGTTTGTGTGTAAAGATATTAGTATTTGTTCTTTGTTTTTTTTTTTTTCATGTGTGGGGAAGTGTAAATCTAGTGTTTCACTTCACGTTCTCACTTATTTTCATGTTTAAGTTCTACATGAAATCTCTTGGGATTTGTTTGTCTTGCAAGTAATTTTACAAATGCCATTATCATGGAAAAGACTTAGGATACTAATGTATTAATTCCTGTTGTCACATGGCAGGTGCATAATTATTTGAGAGCAGAGAAATCAGCATTTATGTGCTACAGCTTGTAATGATCTACTGTTTGTTTAGTGTTTATTATAAACCATAAGACTTTCGAGAGCTGAGGGAATGTCAGCACCTGGGAAGTTTGAGTATTCTTCTGGTGGGATAGATAGGCCTTTATACAGATCTAACTTTGCCGCACAGATGGAAAGATCGAGTAGCTTTCGCGAGTCCTTGGAACATCCTGTGCCATCTCATCCAATCATGTTGAGGACCGCGTCACCAATAGCACAAACTGATGTAACAAATTTCTTTCAGTGTTTGCGTTTTGATCCAAAGGTGGTTGCGGCGGATCACAAATCTATTCGTCAGGGTGACTTTAAGCGGCATGTGAGTATTGCTCTTGGAATACAAGGAGATGAGTCGCCTAGTGGATCTTTGAAAGAGAAGTTAATTCCATGTCCTATACCAGAAGAGATCAAAAGATTCAAGGCTGGTCTGCGGGAAAATAATGTGAAGGCCAGGTAGTTTAACTACCTCAAGTTAGTTAGTTGTGTTTAAGGTGCTCTTTTGGCTCATTTTTTTATTGTGGTCTCAGGGAGCGCGTAAAAATTTTCAATGAAGCTTCTTCTGTATTTAACAAGTTTTTCCCAAGTGTACTGACAAAGAAGAGGTCTCGACCAGAAGGATTTTCTGGTAACCGCTCGGGTGAGCGCTTGGTATCAGGACCAGGCCTAGGTAAAATGGGAATTCAGGGTCAGACCCTGGCTGGTGGTTTTGAGCTTGACCAGCAAAAGTTGGATGAACGACCTAAAAGTGGTGTTCCAAATAAGCGAACACGTACATCCATGGTAATTTCTGATTTATTGACATGACATCCTTTTTTGCATTACCCGTATGGAGTTGTTATCTTGCTCTATACTTGAAAAAAATAAGCTTTATATGCTATAATGCAGTCTTTTGGTTTGCAGCAATTCTCTTGTAGTAGATGATCGCGGTTGCCATTTGTAGTTTTAGATACGATAGAGAGATTCGTCGTATAAAGCAATTGTTTGTACCATGGTAGTATTTATATATACAATAACAAATTTCATGCAAATTTAAGTGTTACATCGAGGAATGATATATCTTAGCATTTGTCTTCTTATATCTAGTAGTAGGTCGCAACTATTTTTGCTTTTAAGCCTGTTGTATTATCACGATACTGTTAGGACCTGAATATATTTGGTAGTATGAAACTAACTGTTATTTCTTTTTAAGTTTTGATAAAAGTTTATAGAAATTTCGTCTTATAGTATTTTCAAATCTCAGATAACTAGTGAGTGATTATTGCCTCAGGAAACTTAATCTCTTTATTTTGTGGTTCAGATGGATGTTAGAAGCAATTCTATTGTTCGACAGTCACCGCCTGTAGACAGAGATAAAGAAATAATGCGGGTAGCGAGTCATAATGTAGTTCAGGGTGAAGATCGAACTTCAATCGGTATTGATGGTTGGGAAAAAACAAAAATGAAGAAAAAACGCTCATCTATTAATGTGGACTGTCATCCTAACTCGGCTTCAAAAGTGGTGGATGGATACCGAGACTTGAAGCAGGGCATACAACAGAAATCAACCGGTGACTCACGGTCAAGATTGAATGGTGATTCAAACATGTTAAGGTATGACCTTTTTTTATGTACGTGATAGATTTTTGTGTAGTCAACATTCAAGGTGCAATGCTGATATTTATTAGCCTTGTGTATTGATTGTCGCCTTGTTCGCCGATGTGTGCTTTCAAATTACATAGCTCATATTTATTTAGCTAGCAAAATTTCTTTTGAATACCTCATAATTTCACTACATTTTTTTTGCTATTCACCTTTTTGAGTTTATTATTAAATAAATCAGAACTGGAATGTCACAAAATTCTATTGATTGCTCTTGGTTTTACATGCTTTTATCTGACCGTATAGAAGTATGTACTGGATTGATGACTTTAAGCTCTAAATAACTTCTGTATGTTGGAGATGCATGAGTGTGGTTTGTGTATTTCCACCATCAGTATCTCACGTTCGTTTTACGTGTACAATTTTACTGGTTTTGTTGACGAGATGACCTTTACTCAGATGATTTCTATAATCTATTTAAGTGCGGTAGATTATGGTTTCAAGGGTTCAGAATATGCTATGATCCAGTCACTTGATTGAATTACTCACTCTGTTTTGTTTTTACTTCTTCTTTATTTCTTGCATCCTGTCAATCAATTGTATTCTGTTTCCTTTGATGGTTCTTCTATAGGGTAAGATCTCCTGTTTGAATTTGTTTTGTAGGCAATCGGCTGGTAATGGAGCTAGCGGGTATGGACGAGCTGATAACCTCTCTCACCAGACGAGCTTGGCTGGGCATTCTCCTCTGCCGAGGGTTGATTCTGATCATAATTCTTTGTACAATGAGAAGAGGGAACGCTCCATTGGATCGGATAAGGAAAGGGTGAATCTCAGAGGCGTCAACAAGTATGTATTATGATCGTAATCACACATTTTTTCTATCAGTTATATGTACCTTGGTCATAAGATTTCAGTTCACCATATCATCTTGCTGATCTTTAGCCACTGTTGTTTCTGATCATTGTTCAATGTACTTATTACTCTGTTTAATTAATTGAAGGTCAAACATTCATGATGAATTCAATTCGTCAAGTCTGGTTTCAAATACAAAAACAAATGCTTCAGTTCGTGGGCCAAGATCAGGATCGGGGCTACCACCAAAACTGTCTCCAGGGCTCCATAACGCTCCGTCCCCAATTGAATGGGATATCTCTGGCTGTACGAATAAGCCTCAAACATTGTCAGGGGGTACACATCGCAAGCGTATGACATCAAATCGGTCTTCCTCACCACCTGTCACTCAGTGGGCCAGTCAAAGACCACAAAAGATATCTAGGATAGCAAGAAGGACAAACATAGTGCCCATTGTTTCAAGTAAGGATGAAGTTCCCTATTCTGATAATATATCAGATGGTGGCTGTAGTGAAACTGGGTTTGGATTGCATAAACGCTCACCAGCTGCTTCACCTCAATTGAAACTAAAAGGTGAAAGCAGTTTCTCCACAGCAGCCTTATCAGAAAGTGAAGAGTCTGGCCCCCCTGAGATCAAGTCTAAAGAAAAGGGTAAACAGTTAGATGAGGTTGATGGGAACGCTGCACAGAATATTCCTAGAGTGTCTATCCCTGCTTTACAATCAAGAAAAAGTAACAAGCCTGCTGCTGGAGAGACTGGGGATGGTGTGAGAAGGCAAGGAAGGACAGGCCGTGGCGTTTCTTCCACGAGGTCTCTTAACCCAATGGGAGTAGATAAACTTAAGAATGTTGGAACAGCGAAACATCTTCGCAGTGCAAGACCTGTTCTTGACAAAAGTGAAAGGTAGAGCTCATTCATATTTTCCATGTACTCTTGAATTTATTTCTTCTATGATTATTGGGCTCGACGGTGGTTATCTCATAGATTTCTTTATGAGTTTTGTGCAGTAAGGTGGGTCGTCCACCCACTAGGAAACTATCTGATCGTAAGGCTTACAAACGTCAGAGAGCCACGGCAACAAATGCTCCAACACTAGATTTTCATGGTAAAACAAGTTGTAATAAGAATTGCTCTTTTGGGCGGAATTATTTATTTATTTATTCCTTTATTTATGGATTGGTTACATTTCTTAGTTGGGTCAGATGATGGCCGTGAGGAGCTACTAGCAGCTGTCAACTCAGCTGTAAATTTTGGTAAATATTTTTTTCCTTGGTCACTCTTAAGATGTGTACTCAACTTGTGTTTCTGAATTAATTATCTTGTTATCAATGCAGCTCATAATTTTCCCAACTCGTTCTGGAAGCAAATGGAGCGCTACTTTTGCTGTATATCTGATGATCATATCAATTTCATGAAACAACAGGTGATACCTTTTACTTCATTCTTTTTATAGTGAAGAATTTGACGCTATTCACACCCGCTCTCCTGAAGTAATAGTCTAGTTATCTGTCTGTTATTATTTTGGCTCAAGAGTAGTTGGTTAGGAATGTGCTACAAGAAAATTATGGTTTGTATTTATAGTTGCACAAGAGTATAAAACATCTCACTCTGCATTGCTGCCTAGGTATCTATCTGCACCCCACTTTTGTAAATGTAAAGGAAAGGAGAAAATCCCAAAGAAGTAGAATAATGGTGTCAAGTGTCTGTTGGATTTGACAGCAATATTTGCAGTGCTACGGAACTAATCATGTCTCTCTTTCAGGGAGAACTCTCCTCCATGGGTCCTACGCCTGTTTTGACATCCTCTGACTATGATAGCCGTGTATTTCCTGAGGAATTTGCAACTAGCAGGGTGGATTCCAAGGCTTCTCCACTTTACCAGAGACTGCTATCAGCTTTGATTTCTGAGGACTCAATGGGTGAAAATGAAGATTTTCAAGTTAATGGATTTGGGGCCATGCATGATCATGAGGATGACTCAGAATTCGGTGTTCTGAATAACAATGAAAGGCTGGAACTTGATGAATCAGAAGATGATGGGTCTGCAATTTTGTTCAAGGGTGTTAACAAGTCAGCCCACATTGACTTCTTAGACATTCAATATGAAAAATTGGGGATAGATGAAAAGATATATCTGGAAGCCCAGTCCATTGGAATATCCTTAGAACCAATGGTATACAGTCTAGTATCTTAGTTACTTAGAAAATAATTACTATGTAATTTTGGCTGTTACTGAATTTCGTGCGACTTGGTATATTGTTCTTGTGTTTTCTTATAGCCTAGTATCTCAAGCGTGGAGGATGAAGGGATAGCTGACGAAATTAAAATGTTGGAGGAGGCTATCTGCAAGGAGGTATTTATTTCATCATATATTATATTCATTCATTATGGTTTTCTTGTCTCCTTAGGGAGTTATTGAGTTCTTCAGGGGCTTTTTGATGTTTTTTAAGGAACCCTTGTAAAAGGACAAAATCAATATCCTTGTTTCCCATGTTACTTTTTTCTCTAGAGAAAAACACCGTTTGATGGTCTCTATGTTATATCTCAGGGTTCCAAGAAGAAAGAGATGGTGGATAGGCTACTAAAGCCTGCCATAGAGATGAAAGAAGTTCAGGAGAAGTATGAATTTTCCCTTACTCTGATTTTCGGGCACACCATTGTGGATCTGAATTATGCTTTAACGTCTTTTCATCTTTATTTTTTTCCATTTTCACAGGGGGCTTGATCAGCTTGGTTATGAAAAGCTCATTGAGATGGCATATGAAAAGAGCAAGGTAAACTGATTTTCTTAAAGTTCATTTTCATCTTTGTTTTGCTTCCCTGGCATTGCCAATTTATTGGGAGTTATTTGTTGATAATTCTGTTTTGTTCTGTTACAGGCAAGTCGTCGTCATCACAACGCTGGTGGAAAGAATTCCAATAACAAGATTTCAAAGCAGGCTGCATCAGCTTTTGTTAGAAGGACACTTGAACGATGCCATCAATTTGAAAAGACGGGCAAAAGCTGCTTCAGTGAGCCTGAAATTAAGGATATGTTCATTGCCGGGTTGGCAACAGCTGAAGATACTCTTATGGACAAAGAGTATAATCCGTCGACTTCAAGTACGATCTATTGCCTATATAAAATAACAAAATCTCTTTTAAATCCATATTCTCTCCGCTAATTTTTATCTCTCTTTCTTTCCCTGACAGCACCCATGGGCTCACAGCCAAGCTCTTCTTTGGCACGCATTGGGCAGAACTCGGAGAACTTTGCCAGTTATGTTCTACCATCTGAAAATGCTTTATTAGAACTAACGACAGGGAAAGAAGATACAGCATGGTCTAATCGGGTCAAGAAGAGAGAGTTGCTGCTTGATGATGTTGGTATCGGGACACAACTCTCAAGTAGTATAAAAGGGAAGAGAAGTGACAGGGACAGAGATGGGAAAGGGCAGGCTTCATCTAGAAGTGGAACCAATAAGATTGGCCGGCCTTCCCTGTCCAATGCTAAGGGTGAAAGAAAAACAAAAGCGAAACCAAAACAGAAAACAACTCAGATATCTCCATCTGTTAGGGTCCCGGAGCAACCCAAACCATTATTACCAAAACCGAATGAAGCAAACAGCGAGTATAATAACTTGGAGTCACTGGAGGAGACAGAGCCAATTCTTGACTTATCTCAGTTACAAATACCAGATGGCTTAGGAGATTTTGATACGCAACCAGGTGATATTGGTTCATGGTTTAACATGGATGACGAAGAAGATTTCGATATCATGGAGCTTGGAATACCAATGGATGATCTCTCAGGCCTGAACATAAAGTTGTGAGGTTACCTCCCCTTCTCACTTTATCTATCTGTATAGTCTTGTTGGTTATACTAGTTGACAACAGATAAAAAAGCATAAGGTAAAAGAAAATTTTTGCTTCCTTGGGCGAATAACCACCAATACAGGTTATTTGTTATGTTAGCTCCAGAAAATTAGGTCACATAGATTCTTTTCTTCATCATCTTCTTTTTCTTAGGCTTCTTTTTTTCGTCTTCTTATACCTCCAATATCTCGGGTAAAACTCTTTTTACTTTCTTGATGGATGCTGGATTTGGATCCGGTGGGTAAGCTAGGTTGATAGTTAACTTCTGGCTGTTAAAAAGCTGTTGTGACGGAAAGAAAGAAAGGGAAAAGGAGTGATGATGGTGATGTTGTAGTGATATATATGTATACATATAAGTGGAGGCTCTTCTTCTTTGATCTTTTGGTTTCGTTTTTGGTAGTTTCCATAACCTCAGGACCATTACCTATCTGTACATACATTTTATGTTCCTTAATAAAATTCAGTTTCTCCCTCCGTTACAGATCATTGTGTTACTCTTTACTCTTTACCATCATTGATATAATGTACACTCAAAATTCTGAGTATAGTATTATTTGCACCTTGGTGCTTACCATACCAGACCAAAGTTGCCTTAACCAAATTTGTTTGCAGGAGGAGCAAAACCTTTTGTGGCATCTTTGATTTGCCCTTAAATGAATAGTGAAAAGCAAAGCTCTAAAGAAAAAAACTTGAGATGCTAAAGTTTGGCATGTTTTTGTCTACCAGACGTGACACAATCAGTGGACGTTACACTCCAATCTCGACGTCTAACTTGAGTCTGGCCTAGTTAGAACGTTTCATTACAGAAAATAAAAATTATGTCTTCTTTCAGGGTTGATATTCTGAATCTCTAATTGCTGCATAAGAACACTCATATTTTGACACAACTTCAGGGCAGTTTCATAATTTAATTTACCAAATACTCGGGTTTAACGTTCAAAAACTGGATTTTGGAGCCTAACATATCAGTCAAGAAAATACGATAGTTTGAATGAAATTCCACATTTGGTACAGACAGTAATAGCAATGAATCACATGACAAAACTGTGACGGGTAACCCCAAGTCGAATAGGCATGTCTCAAGAAGTAGAATCAATCTTTAGCCACTAGTTTCACATACTTCCCGTCTATCACGAATCTGGAGCTCGAGTTCACCTGTAAGATAGTAGGAAAACGAAAGACTTTTTTCAGATGATTGTTTTTTAAAAGCAGGAAATAGTTTCGTTGCGTATTAATTAAGCAGATGAGATTTTCCAGACCTTTAGCTCTAGCTCTGCCTTGAGCTCAGATTTGTCTCGAGTTATTCCTGAATCCAGAAGAGATTCCAGAACGAGCTTTTTCAGTTTCTTTATCTTCAAAGTTTTATCTTCGTTCTGTATAAATAAAAAATCATATATGTGTTAATGCATGGTAAAAACGGAAACTGCAAGCTGTAAGAAAAAAGTTAAATCGCGACCGAAATTCAGAAAGTTGATAGATACGTACAGACTTCAAAGCCGATGTGATCAACTTCTTCCAATTGATTTTCTTCTCATGGTCCTGTTTCTTCGCTTTCTTTAGTTCACCTCCTTTTGCTTCTTCGGCTTTAACTACCTCACCTTTACTCGTATCATCTAAAGTCTCTAGCTTTCTCTTTTTATCAGCATGCAAATCTCCATTTGCAACACCCAAGGGGACAGGTAAATCCACTTTCTTCAGTTCGGAATCACCATTAGAAGCGTTTTCGATTCCATCCTTCTTATCAACCGTGGATTGTCCAGATTGTTGTTGTTGTCTAGCATGGAAGGCTTTTGCTTTTCCTCGGTGCTTCTTCCCATCCGCATGGGCAAGCAAAGTCTGCTGGCTAGTAGCTTTTGTGTAACATATACTGCAACCAAACAGAAACACTCAAAAGCACATCCTCAAAAAAATCTCACCAAGAGATAACAAACACAAACAACACTACATTCTAAAAACAAAAGTCTACATTAGCTCTATCATTCCAAAGATACATCGACACAACCAGCCAGTGTAGACAACACTAAACTAAATCCATGTCTAAAGCGGAAAACAGAAGTTAAAGTCGAAAGATGTAAATACCTACAAAACCATGGATATCGGTTGGATAAGCCAACATTTATATCAGAGTCAGGCTGTTGCTTCGTGCTATCCTTTGGCTTTGCAGGTGTGCCATTAGATGACTTTGACTGCCCTTTTGGACCATACTTCTCCTAAAACACAGAAACATTCAAATTCAATACTCAAAACCAAAACAGGTAAACGAATTTGTTCCATAGACATGGTAAATTACTTACAGCTTCAGTAATGCACTGGTTATGTCCTTGTACATTATCTTTCCCAAACATTTCTCCACAGTCGATGCACGATAGCTATATTGATAAGCATCACAAACAAAAACAATCATCACACAGTTTCGATTTCACCAGAAGAAGAAGAAGAACAATAAAAACAATCTATAAAATCGAGACCTTTGTGGCACTGCACATCCTGAAGTGAGTCGGGAGCTTTGGCTTCTTCAGATTCTCTCCACAGTCCTCGCATTGAAACCAAACCATCGTTTTCCTCTTTCCGATGATTGAATTTTAGATTTGTGGGAAAATTTTCAAGCAGAGATCAAATTTTGGGTATAAGATTAGTAGTACCCAACTAGGGTTTTAGAAGAACCTTAAATTAACGAAGAGTTTGTTTAAGAAAGTGTCAGACAACGCGCTGTTTTGGAACACTAAAAACGACATGGTTTCTTGATTATTAACGATGAGACAGCATGCTTTTTGTAGATTAAGTAGCGACAAGCGCGTAATGAGGTGCCATTAATTTTGGTCTCGACATATAAACCGAACCAAACCAAATTCAATAGAAGGGTGAATCGGATGTTTCGACAGTTTTTGAAAGGGAATTTTATATAAAATGCCATTTTCAAAACTCATTCTTTTAAAACTGTCATTTTCTATTTTGTATTTTCTGAGATGCCATATTTATTTTTATATTAAAGAAAAAGACAAAAATGCCCTCAAAGAAAGATGACAAAAAATCTGACATGAGATGGGATATTTTTACAGCTGTCATAATAATTATGGACATTATATAATAGACAAGTTTTTTTGTATCGACATTCTTTATTTTTTCTGCACACTCGATTATAGACAAAAAAATTTGTCTATTCATCTAACATATGTGTTATGGACAAGTTCGTTTATAAAAAGTTAGATTTACTTTACTATATAAGTATAATGGACAACAAAATAGGAAACAAAAACTAGACATGTTACAGCTCTAGTCCATCTATAGATAAATGTGTGATCCAAAGTGTATACCTAGATGAATTGTTGATGATGTCTTCTATATATGCATCATTTGTTTTATCTTCTCCTTAATTGCTTGTGGTTTCAAGAGATATGTAGGATGGACAAGTTTGGTCTACTGATTCCGGTCCACCAGATCTCGTCCATCGGAACTGGTTCGCCAGATCTGGTCCTCCGGAATTGGTCCATCGAATCTGTAGCCACTGGTCTGTTGAGATTGGTTATGCTACGCCGGAACTAGTTATGGTCCATTGAAACTGGTCCGTCGGATCTGGTCTGCTGAGACTGGTTTTGGTTTGTCGAAATTAGTCCGTCAGAACTAGTCCGTCGAAACTGGTCCGCCGGAATTGGTTCACCGGAACTAGTCTGCCGGAGCTGTAGAGATATTTGTTTGTTGTTGAAGAAATAAAGAAAAGATCAAAGAAGAAGAGATAGAAAGAAAAGAAGAAAGAAGAAAAAATAGAAAGAGATGAGAAAAAATGTAAAACAAAGAGAAAGTTTGAGTGGAGGACAAAATTGTCATTTGAATGAATTAAAAGTGGGTCCTATGACATTTTAGAGAATATTAGATTGAAAATGGCATTTCTTAGAAGAAATGACATTGTTCATGGCATAGAGTATAATTTTCTCTTTTTGAAAAGACAGCATGCTTTGGGTCCATTTCACTAATTTGGAATAGTACCTAGTCTAAAAAATACAATTACTTATGAACTTAGGTTATATTGATACAAAAGTAACTCTTTTACCCCTAGAATACATCACTATATTACTATTATCGTATATATATTTGAAAATGGGTTAAAACGGGTTAATATTATTATGCGAAATACATATGAAAGCAATTATTACTAATTATGTTTGTTATAAAATTAATATTTATACACGGATTATATGATGGACGGGTTTGAATCGATATTATTAAAATATTAAAAAATATCATTAATCTTAAAACTTCATTATACAATTTTTGTAACAATACAAGTATATGACATGTTGAATTAAACAGATTTAATTAAAATTGATATTATGCAATCTTAATAATTTATATTAAAAAATGTAGCATAATAGACAATTAAAATTTAAAAACAAAATAAATAAAAAAATAAAAAAGTTTCACCGCGGGTTAAAATCTAGTAGTATGTATAAAGTTATGTCTTGTTTTGAAGTATAAGATTAATGATATTTTAATCTATATTAACCCATGTATTTGATATTGAGTAGGATTCAAATCTGTCTCTTTGTGTTTTGTCTTCCCACACGTTTGTTTTAAACTTTAAGGTTTTTTTAGGCTTTTTTTATTGTTCCTTGTTAATTAGATTTAGAGGGTAAAAAATACTTATACGAAATTGTGGTAGCTGAAGTTTTCAAGAACATGACAAGATTTGTTATGCAAGAAGCATAGATAAGAGACTTGAGATCAACCAAAAAGAGCCGTTCATTGAAGAGAGACAAAATGTATAGGAAGAGAAAAGTAAAACGATGATATTATAATCTATTATAGTATTTTTGCTAGCATTTTTGGAGAGAATTTAAAGCAAATTTTTTGCAAAAAAAAAAAAAAAAAAAAATTTAAAACATTCTCAAAAGCTTTTGATTCACTAATGTCCGATTCCGCTAGCTTATGAAGACCCATCGTTCGTATATCGAGTTTACCTCATCCTTATATTTATACTTTTGGGAGTTTGTGTCTTTGTCCGTCGTCGAGTTCGAGGGAGTGCAAAAGTTCACCCGTTCGAAGGCATAGATCATTTGGGTGAGCTTTAATGGGGCTGGTATATATATATTATGGTAAATAATAGTATTAGATCATTTGCTCATTTGCTAATAAAGTGTTTTATTAGAAAGACGAAGAACATCAATTCATCATCATCACATAAATATTAGATTCCACAAGCATCCCCTCCCGGTCCACCAAACAAGAACATACTACCAAATGTTTCCTTTCTAAAACCATAACATTTTTTTTTTTTTTTTGTTATGAAGAAGATGGATTCAAATATATTTGGTATAAATAAGAATGTGATAAAGAGTATATGCATTGATAGATATATGTACCTTACAATAACCATAACTCCATGTCCGCCCATCGCCAAACATACTTAGGTTTACCTGTTAATTAGTACAATCAAATAGCTTTATTCATAACTAAAATTCATATTGTGTAATGGTCTAATGAAAGAGAAGAAGAAAAAAAAAAATCCATATTTGCTCTAATGTACTCTTTAATTTTCTTAAATATGCTTTAATTGTTTGGTTTACCTATTTTAGTACTAGCGGATTTTATTTCTCTCTTCTTACTATACACTTTAATTTATTGTGTACAGATTTCATATACATAAATCAATCAATAAATAAATAAAAATGAAGATTATTTCTTCTTAATGGTCCACTTTGCTTTGAGAAGAAATGAATAAAATGCACTTTAATATTCTTTTAGTTATTTTCATCTAGGCAAAACAAAAACCTTGTCAACTCAAAACCCAAAAGAACTCTGATTTTAGTTTGGTTATATTCACACAACTAGAAAACCGGAATTAGCTTCTCTGGCTTCATGATACATTTCATAAAGACACAAGATGAATCATTCATTAGCCTAACAGCAGATTGAAAGTCTAATCAAAAGAAAGCCATACCAATTGATCTCAGCTACCTCTGATACCAAGCATGTTGGCCATCACCAACATATTGCTCTGCCATGCCCATATGATCAGGTGGTGGCAACATCGATCCCTGGTTCATCATCATACCCGAACCAAACATACAATAGTTTGGTGGACCAGCTACCATTTGATTACCATGTAATGCACCATACATAGGGTCAAAAACAGGAAGCTGGGGGTGTCCGTAATAAGGTATGTTCTGTCTGTACATGTCCATAGTCTGCTGCTGGTGCTTATCCTCGAGTACATGCTGGTGGGACAGTTCGAGCCCCGGGAATGCCGCTTCACTCTGAGTTAGATCAATCTTCACCGCCTCAACGATATCTTGCACCTTTCCAGCCCCAGACGGCTTCTTTGATGCTAGATTACATACCACTGTGCGGTTGTACAACCTCTTCTCTGGATTTCTTAGTGCCTCTCTTGCTCCCTTCCGCGTCTTGAACAACACGAACCCGTACCCTTTAGCTCTTCCAGTGTCCTTGTCCATGACCACTGAGCAATCCTCTATCTCCCCATATGACTCAAAAGCAGCCTTGAGGTTCTCGTGTGTTGTGTCCCATCCAAAGCCACGCACAAACATATTGCGGCGAGCAATGTCACGGTCCGCTGACTCAATGATGGCAGAGAACAATCGAGAGCCCTTCTCGGCAGTCTTGTATACAAGGTTAACAAGCTCTTCCTTGGAGTAAGATACCAACAGCTGTTTTATGTCTTCCTTGTCATACTCGAAATCAGAGTCTGACTTAGTCTGCTTTTTGTCCTTGTTTCCCTTCCTCTCACTGTCTTGCTTCTTCGCTCTATTAGATTCACTCTTTTCCTCACGCCCTCCTTTTGCTTCTTTAGCCTGAATTACGTCCCTGTTCTGTGTTTCATCGAAAGTCTCTAGCTTTCTCTTTTTGTCAGCCTGTGAATATCCATCTGCAACACCTGAAGAGACAGGCAAATATACTTTCTTCAGTTCGAAATCACCATCAGATGCATTTTCATTTGTATCCTTCTTATCCACCGTGGGTGTTTCTAATTGTTGTTCTTGTTCAGCAAGAAACCATTCAACATTCACTCGGTGTTTTTTCCCATTGGCATGTGATAACAAAGTCTGTTGGCTGGTAGCCTTTGCGTTACACAAGCTGGAACCAAATAGACATATTTAAGCATCAACTCTTAAAATCTCACCCCGAGGAAACTGATAAAAACGAACACAGAAATCTTATCTATTTGTTACTGTGCACAATCAAAGAGAAATCCATGATACCATACTTACCAATGATGCAAAACCAACCATATACACGACTCCATTCAATAGCTGATGCATTATTCTACTTTGAATTATCCTTGTCACGACTAACTTACTTAATTGGCATGTAGATTTGGTGAACACTCTTACTAAGGACACAGACAAACAAGGCAACTGCAAATACCAATTCATTTTACGCAAAATTTTAATATGTGTCTTTGACCAATCCAAAGTTAGATAAGGTTTCTTCTAAAATGACATTAAAATACTCCTAAAAATTGCAGACAAGCCTCAATTATTTCATAATTAACATATCACTAATCTCACATCAAAAGTGCATATCCGGTTTTCAAACGTGATACAGAAAATGGCAGTGGAAAGGTGAAAGATGTGAAGGGATTACCTACAAAACCATGGATAACAATTTGATAACCCGACATTTATATCAACTTCGGTCTGTTGTTCTGATTCCCTTTGCTGTTTTTCAGCATCAAACTGTTTGACATTTGCTCGGTGTTTCTTCCCATTGGCATGGGATAACAAAGTATGCTGGCTGGTAGCGTTTATGTTACACAAGCTGGAAAAAAATAGATAATATTTAATGCATGTTCTCACAAAATCTCACCACAAGAGAACACACAAACAACAATACACTATGAAAGTCTCCAAAAGTATCACCCAAAAAGATATATAGATAAGATTTCTTATAGAATGATTTGAATTACTGCTAAACAATGTAGTCCAACCTCGACAATTATAGAAATACAGAAGATGGAAGAAAAGGTGAAAGATGTGATTACCTACAGAACCATGGATAGTGGTTTGATAACCCGACATAAATGTCTAAGTCGGGCTGTTGTTTTAAGTTGTTCTTATCAATAGTTGGTTGTTCAGCAACCTCTCTTTCTTTATCTAGATGTTTCGTTCCATGGACATGGGCAAAATAATCTTGCTCGCAGGTCATATTTGCATCACATAAGCTGCAAATAGATATTATTCAAGTCATATCATCATAAAACCTCACCAAAAGAAAGAAAAAAACTCACATACAACACTAAGGTTCGGAACAAAGTCTCGATAAGTTTTATCAAACCCAAAGACATATGGTTACGTTTCTTATAGAACTAACTATATTGTACTCCAACACAATGCAGTCAAACCTCGAATTAAGAACAGTTAACAGACAATGGAAGGAAAGCTAAAGATGTGAGAGTACCTACAGAACCATGAAGGGTTGTTGTATAACTCAGCATTCATATAGAAATCGTGCTGATTTTGTTTCGAGTTTTCGCCATTATATAGCCCCTTTGGACCATATTTCTCCTACATACAAAGGTAAAAAACATTCAAGACACTAAACCTAAAAAATCAAAATTTAAAGGCAAATATTTCAATAGAATGCAGAACCATTAGGGATTAGCAAATACTTACAGCCTCGGTGATGCATTGATTATGATAGTGAACACTATCTTGCCCAAACATGTTTCCACAGTCAATGCAAGATAACTGATAAATCACATTGATTCAAAGATATATCATCAGGACGCGATTAAGAGAAGAATCATCAGAGAGTTTTCGACTTTAGTGTGTGTACGGTACCTTGGTGGCACTGCACATACTGAAGTGCCTCGGTAGCTTTGGCTTCTTCAGACTCTCGCCACAATCTTCGCACTGAAACCACACCATTGGATCGATCGATTCGAATTGGGGGAAAGATTCATTCGATTTTGGGAGAGTTTGGTTTAAATTTGAATTGAAACCCTTTTTTCCCAGATTGACGAATATATTTTCTAACTACGTGTTGTTTCACTACACTTGAAAACGACATGGTTTGTTATATTTAACGAAAATGACGTCGTTTTTGCTTTAAGATTTATTTTTGTTAAATAGGATATCACTTTAGGTAAGTCATGTCCTCCTAAAACCTCACCACACGAGAACACTCACAAACAACACTACGTTTGGAGCCAAGTCTCGATTAAATTTATCAAGCATGTGGTTACGTTGAACAACTCGGCAAAGCACATATATGTGGAAGTACTTAGACTGATTCATATAGAAAATGTTTACACCTATATAACTTGTACATCAAATTCAACTACAACTCGGACTTCGACCAGGACCACCATAAAAGAAGAAAATTCCTTTGCTATATGGTGAATGCCAGACCTGATATTGTAACAATTTGCATTTGTCGCAGAAGTATACGGATTTATAGGTGCTTTAGTGATGTCATTCTGATCAATTATTTCAACATTATTGAAATAACTAGCTTTTTTCCATCCATTTTCTGCAAAGTGTCCACTTCCCATTTGCGTCAACCTGTGTTTTGAACCCTCCTTCATGTCTACTATTTCGCCTGCCCAATAAACTTTGGTCGCACCATTTTGTAGACTATTGAACAATGCGGAAGGCCAATAACCAACAATTTAGATTAGTGCTAAATTTCAACCACCAATTACCTGTGAGGGAATCCTGTAGTAATATATGACAATCCATTTTTACTTTTTTAGTTTGTCGATAACATATAAGAGAGTATATATGTGTTGAAACTATATCATAACAAATGACAGGTCTTATAGAACCTTCCATATAGTTGTTGGAATTACTTCTTGTTGACCATTCAAAGTGGAAACTCGGGGAACGATCCCACCTAAGGCAAATCTTTGGTTAATGGTAACAAATCCTGGACAATCAAGATTATAACACCCTGTTGACCGGTACCCATCAGCCTGTTTTTTGTTACCAAACAATACAAAAAAAAAAAATGTAAGAACTAAGAGAACAATTACATATGAAAGGACTTAACTTTTCCAAGCTAAAAAGTAAGATCAGCAAAAGAAATATAAAAAATAATATATAAATTAACTCACAGTCCAATAAACAAAGTAACGAGGTTTATCATCACCATCCACTTTCTTGACCACCTAAGTAATAACAATGAGGAAAAAAAGGTTAAAACGAAATATATTTATCTATTTATAGGTATAATTTAAAGAACAAACTAAAACCTGCCAACCAGCTTCAATGTTGTTGAGAGTTTTTTGACGACCAGCAGAAACCCATATTTGTGCGAAACTAAATTCTCCTACCGTTTGTACATAAGGTTTCCACACGTTTATAACTGCTTTAGCTCCATGAAACTTGGCTCGAGGAGAATTTACTTTTACTTTTAAATGTGGCATACTATATATGTACATAAACATACATGTATAAGAAATAATGAATACATTATACATATGAGGAAATTTTTCAAGCACTTTTTGAATGAGCGTTATATATTTACCTCACGTGTAAAGTTGCTACTAGTTGTATTGGTTGGTTTAAGTTGAGGAATACTGTTGAAACCTTTTTTCCCAAATCTTGCGATCGATTCTGCCCGTAAAATATCTTGTTTTCTAGTTCTTACGATTGGAATACTAGTCTTTGAACATATTCAGTTGATTGTCCAAAGTTGAGCCACCAAATTTTGTTTCTCGGGTTTTGAATTGTTATGTCCATCTGGATAAGAACTTGGTCTCATCTAAATAACATTAAATAATTACAATAATTTAAATATATGAAATGTACTTAGTTAAACCAATTCAAACAAGTTGTATTAGCATTAATGATTTAAGTTTGAGTCTAGCTAGTGCTATTTTTAAGAAAGATTACTTGAACATGGTGATTTTTGAATTAAAAATGATAAAATTAACTATAAACAAAATATCTTGAACTATGTGCTAGAAGATAATACTAATAATTATATAAGTATTAGTTGAACCAACTAACAATAATTATAGAAGTTGTAATATTTTTCTAACCTGAATGGTGTGATTTTTAAATAAAGGATGATTATAAATTGGATGATTCTTGAAATGGACGCAATCTATGATATCTCCATCTGGACTCTAGCAAAATTATAAAACGTACATAGTTCAGAATTAAAAGCAATATATATATATATATATATATATATATGTAATTAGGTGTCACTCTTGTGTAAATCATCAAATTAATTCAACCTTAATGGATTTAAGAGCAGGTTTATTGAGTTTATTCAAGAGTTCATCTATTTTAGCATCACAAGAATTAGAAGACTCGCTTCGGGTGACGGTGACTATCAAAACTATAAGTAGAATGATGGGCACAACTAAATTTGCTATAGTCCAACCAATCATGATAAGAGTATTCAAAATGTATTAATATTTATTGTAAAGAAAGGTCATGCATTAAAACTGAATATATTGAAGCACTAAAAATTGTAATGCTTTATTTATTTTAATATGACAATAAAAATTAAAAATTAAAGCCAAAAGAAATACAATTAATTCTTTCAAATTGATTTATTCATTGCAAATCTATAAAAAAATTAATGCAGTCATTTAAATTTATCAAAATGTGGGAAAAGGAAAATAAAAATATATTTTATTATATAAAATTTGGTTTCAAAAACTACTAATTAACAAGATCATTATGCGTGTCAACTTTATCGATTAGTTATATTGACATGTGTCAATTTTATCGATTAGTGATTTTGACATGTGTCAAAAATTTTTGGTTAAGAAATTATATAATTTAGTTCAGTAGATAGAAAAAATTGGAAAATTCAACAATTACTTAGTATTAATCTTATAAGAAAAAATTTATTAAAATATTAATATATAATTATATGAATTAATTTTAAAGAAAAGAAATATTTTCAAAATATAAATAAATAAAGAAATAAATACAGATTATCTCCACCGTTACTTTTTTTACTTTTCAGAAAAATTATATTAAATTAATTAGAAGTGAAAAATGAAATATATATATATATATATACATAATGAATAATATCAACTTAGACCAGATATCATTTCACTTTGAATTAATTGTTTATTATTATTTTCATATTACAATAAATAAAAATATTATATAGCACATAAATTTGTTCATTTTCTTGTGTACATGATGTTTCTCATGTTTCTTTAGTATTATATAAATTAGTTAAATTAATCCTCTATAAACGAACTACAAATGCTTCATAAAATATCAAAATATATTGGATAATCTTTTCATAATTTTTCAGATAATGGCTAGTTTAATTGTGCTAAACTTTATAGTCATATTAGCAGTACTAGTCACCCGAAGCGAGTTTTCCAATACTCATGATGCTGCAGTAAATCAACTCTTGAAAAAACTCAATAAACCTTATGTTAAATCTATCAAGGTTTATTAAGTTTTGGATTTACACAAAATTACATTGAACTACATTTTTTTTTTCATTTTTTATTGTTCTTTAATCCTTAGTTGATATGTTTTGTATTCTTAAATAGAGTCCAGATGGAGATATAATAGACTGTGTTCATATGAAAAACCATCCAATTTATGATCATCCTTTATTCAAAAACCACACAATTCAGGTTTGGAAATTATATTCTTTTTAATCAGTATTATTATAGTGTTAAATTTATATGCATTTTGAGTATAGTTTTATCACCTTTTATTCAAAAATCACACCATTCACAAATCTTTCTTAAAAGTTATACTATACCAAAAATTGATATTAACGCTAAAAATATCCCATTGAAAAATGGGTTACTAAGTACATTTGATTTTGTCATGCTCAAAAAATTTCCGGTACTTTCAATATATAATTGTGTTTTTTTATAGATGAGACCAAATTTTTACCCAGAAGGATGGACAACTAAATATTCAAATAACAAAAAACAAAATATGGTTGCTCAACTTTGGACAATCAATGGAATATGTCCAAAAAATAGTATTCCAATTAGAAGAACAAGAAAAGAAGATATTTTACGAGCAAAATCAATTGAAGAATATGGAAAAAAAGATCCCAACGATATTCGTCAGCATAAACCAATCAATCAACATAGAAGAGGAAACGGAACACATGAGGTACACATAGCATTTATTAAGTATATAAAATGCTTATACTTTTTATATATCTTTTATGAGTATATAGATATGTTTGTTGTTTCTTATATATGTATATTTATGTACAATTATAGTATGCTACACTTAATGTGGTAGCAAATTCTCCTCGAGCTAAATTTCATGGAACCCAATCGTATCTAAACGTGTGGAGGCCTTATGTACAAGAGGACCACGAATTTAGCCTAGCACAAGTATGGATTGTAGCTGGAAGTTATAGTTCTCAACTTAACACCATTGAAGCTGGTTGGCAGGTTTTATATTTTCTTGCAGTTACTTATATATATAATATATAATCTTCTTCTTTTATAATTTTTTTCTATTAACAAAATTTATTTTCTATATTTTAATATTTTTGTTATCATTGTTATTAATTAGGTGTCCTATGGAATTTATGGTGATAATCAACCACGATACTTTACCTACTGGACGGTGAGCTTACTTCCATTCTATTGTTATGAATTTTTTGAGTTTCTAATTAAGTATGTTTGTGTAGATGAAAATTTCATTCTTTTTACTTCTTTATAGTTGGAAAATAAAAACATAACTCTTTGTTATGTGTGTTGTTTGATAACATGGAAACAGGCCGATAGTTACATGAGAACAGGTTGTTATAATAATATAGGTTGCCCTGGCTTTGTTAGTATCAACCAAGAATTTGCTCTAGGTTCACCCATTTCTCAAGTTTCCGTCTTTGAAGGTCTACAAATCAATCTTCTAGTAAGTATATGGAAGGTAAATAATACATGCTCTTTTTCATCTTATAATTTAATTTTTATTTTTTTATTTATAAAATTTAAAAATTGAGGATGAATATGTTATATTATTATAGGATCCTAGAACAGGAAATTGGTGGTTGAAATTTGGTCCTCATTTTTATGTTGGGTATTGGCCTTCCGCATTGTTCAACCATTTACAAAATGGTGGAACTGAAGTTCATTGGGGAGGCGAAATCGTAAATTTAAAGAATCATTCACGGCACACAACAACAGCTATGGGAAGTGGGTTATTTGCAGAAAATGGATTTCAAAAGGCTAGTTATTTTAGAAATATTGAAATACTTGATGAAAATAATATTAGGAGAGAACCTGTAGGTGTTTCTTCTATTGTGACGAATGATCGTTGTTATAGCCTTAGTTATGGCAATAGCTCTGGTCACCCTATATGGAAAACTCATTTCTTTTATGGTGGTCCTGGTGGAAATAATCATTTGTGTACTTGAGATGTAAGCATGTTGTGTGAATCTATTTCTCACCATTATAACATATGCTAGAACAATACCCGTGCTACAACACGGGTTTATATCTTGTTTTATACCTAATTTATATATTTTATATTTTTAATCAAGTTTTTGATATGTTATATTAGTTATAGTTATTATTCTCACCATTTGTTATAATGGTCATAACTCATTCTATCATATAACAGTTAACTCATCGTTTCAAATAAATATTATATATATATTTGTTTGAAATGACCAAATTATAGTATTTGTAGTTTTTATTTTTTTATCTAAGAATTTTATGATATATATATTTTTTTAAATATCAAGTTAAATTATTTTAACATGTTCAAAATACAAAGATTTAAAAAGGTGATTTCACTATATAAAGTTATACATTGTAATAAATTATGACCTGTTACTTTTAAATATTTTTGTTGAATATATTTTTCTTAACATAAATATATTATTTAAGTTTGAATTTTTTAACCCGTTACAGTTTTCTTCTTTATAAATTGAACTATTTATATTAGTTTTCAAAAATTCAAATCATGCCACATGCATAAGCAAATCTACATTTTTATTTTTATATGAATGATATGATGAGTTAGTATGATAAGTTAGATATCAAATCTTCTAGGTTTATTTTGATTGGTCATTCATTTATAAACAAAATAATAATGAATTTTCGTTTTATAATTTAATTAAATTGAATAAATTAGTATTTCACATTTTTATCCTTTATAATAGATGGCATTTGAAATGTAATAACATACCATTAGTGATGTTTATTTTATAATGTATTTTCCTGTTAATAAAGAGGGGAGTGAATATAAAGTTTATTATACAATTTTAATTTTGGGACTATAAATATGCAAGAGAGTTAACAAGAAAATCGGATGGATTGCGTTTTTTTATAACTGATTAGAAAATCCAAACAAAACCTTGTGATAATAAGATTTTGTTTGGATTTTATAAGATTTTGTTTGTATTTACGCGGGTCTTAATAGTACTATAATAAATTAATAATTTTGGTTTTTGAAATTATAAAATGTTATATATAGAAATGGTAAAAATCTGTTTCACAAAATGAATAGAAAATTTCATTAAAATTGTTGGCCTAAGTCCAAGTTCTTGACACATTCTAAAACCTTTGTGAAATGCATAGATAATTCTCTTCTTCAAATCTTGATTTTGCTCTGCAAAGAGTGTATCAAAATTTATACCAAAATAATATTTTGTGGAAATAGTAACGTAGATGGGAGATATACAAGTAGCTCATATATAGCATTGGCCGATCTATGACCTAATTAAGTGCCTTATTACCCAGGTAACCCTTGAGGACATCCATCACGGCTCCAAAATCTGCATTCACTTCAACTGGGGGATTTGAGAACCGGCAAGCCATATCGGGTATGGCTTTCGAGTGGTAATCGATTTTAGACTGGCTGAATTTCAACCCGTGAGCAGTACTCACCACCACGGTCCGATCAGTTGGTGCAATCACTCCTTGGTTCCTCAATTTAAACAGAGCCGTTAGGGCAACACCAGTGTGTGGACAAACAAACATTCCAGTGGAATCTGCCTGAGCCATGGCATCCATAAGCTCCTCTTCCGTGGCTTCTTCCACAATGCCGTCGCAGTTTCTAAGAGCATACACCGCCCTGTCTATCGAAACCGGATCACCAATCTGAATCGCAGATGCAAAAGTGGAACTAGCCTTAACCGGCTTGAAATCTTTCCAACCTGCCTTGTAATGCAAGTAAAGCGGATTCGCGTTAGCCGCTTGTGCGCAAACCAGCCTCGGAATCCTATCCACAAGCCCAAGCTCTTTACACATCTTAAAACCCTTGTAAAACGCATAAATGTTACCAAGATTGCCTCCAGGAACAATCACCCAATCTGGAACTTCCCAATTAAACTGCTGAAGAATCTCAATCGCTGCAGTCTTTTGTCCTTCTAACCTCAAACTATTCAACGAATTCGCCAAATAAATCGGCAACTCCGAAGTAATCTCCTTAATCAGCTTCATACAACCATCAAAATCAGTGTCAATACTCAAAACAAACGCACCGTTGGCAATCGGCTGAACCAGCTGAGCCATTGAGATTTTGTTCGCCGGTAAGATCACAATCGAGGGGATCCCCGCGGATGCGCAATAAGCCGAAAGAGCAGCGGAAGTATCTCCGGTAGAAGCACAACCAACTCCAACCACAGGTTTATTCATCTTCCTTAAACGATTGACTTGACTTACCAAAACAGTCATACCAAGATCTTTAAAACTTCCTGTATGACTAATTCCACAATGCTTCACCCATAAATCATTCATCTGTAGAAACTTTTTGCCGAACCTCTCAGCCCAGAAGAGATTAGAGTTACCTTCGAAAGTGGAAACAATGTCATCGTCGTGGATTTGAGGAAGCACCCACTCTTTCTTGGACCAGACTCCAGATCCGTAAGGCCACTTGGTTTTTCCAACTCTCGAATCGAATAGTTTACGCCAGTAAGCTCCGTCGTAATGTTTCAAAGCTTCGAGGTCGTGTTCTACATCGAGAAGACCACCGGATTTGCTACGGTATACGATCTCGTCTAGGGAGTATGACTCCGTTGACTCAGCCGGTGCGTTGAACGGAACGTATCTAGCGGAGAAAGGACTTACGGCGGAGGAGGTTGAGCGATTGCGGCGAGCTTCTTCGTCGCGGATGTTGTCATTCGTAGGAGAAGTGACGTTGCCGTTTCCATCGGCGGTTTTGACGGAGGAGATGATGACGTGACGGTCGTTACGGGGAGTAACGGATGATCGACGATGACGGTGGAGAGAGTTTTGATGAGTCCAGTTGAAGGAAGAGAGAGAAGAGCACGACGACGCCATTTTTTAGAGATGGGAGAAGTGAGTGGCGGGTGATGTTTGATTGTGTGTGGCGGCGACACGAAAGAGTCAAATTCAGGTTAACCGGAATTAATTCTGATAACCGGTTTAGCTACATAACCGAAGTGTGTCGTGTAATAATATCTCTAATTCGAAAACGGTTTTGTTTGTTTGTCGGAGTCGAGATGGAGAAGTGAAAGGTGGAGAAGAGAAGCAAATACATTATTATTGTTCTTGTCTCCTTTAAAAGAACGGTAGAGATCTGTCGTCAAATAACAAAAGATAAGTCATAGTTCTATCTTTTGTTCTTGTTATGGTTTCTTGAGTCATAAGTAGCCTTTTTTTTAATTTATAAGTGGATTATTAAGTAATTTTTAAAAAGTTAGTAAGTAGATTTTAATTTAAAAGATAGCACGATTAAAAACGGAAAATGGATAGTTAAAAGTCACTCTTGTGTAAATCAACAAATTAAATTAACCTTAATGAATTTAAGAGCAGGTTTGTTGAGTTTATTCAAGAGTTATCTCATTTTAGCATCACGAGAATGAGAAAACTCGCTTTCGGTGACTATTCAAAATTATAAGTAGAATGATGACCACAATTAAATCAATATTGCAAAAAAAAATATGATTTCTTAAAAAAGAAAAGAAAATTGCAAATTGACTTGTTTGAATATAAGTTCAAGTTCTTGTCGTCTTGCCATACTTCTAATCCTGTGTAAATATACACATATATTACCAAGATTGCCATGAAAAAGAAAAATATTACCAAGTTGTATAATTTCTATATTCTCTTGTATTCATAATGCTACATCAGTTGTCGAAATCACGCTCTTCCTAAACCATATAAAAGAGTCCAATTTTGCACTCAGTGGACCAGAGATAGATTTTGTTTTTTTTTAATAACATTTAGCACCCACTAATAAGATGATTTTGTAAAAAATAAGATGACTTTGTAAAATTACTTATTCACGGGCAAGAAATTACAATGTATGATACTTTTCACCATATCACATATTGTATATGCTATATGATGGTGATAACGTACATAATATAGATTCACACACAACATGCATGCTTATTACATCTCTATAACGTACAAAAAGGATTATTTCCACCAGGACCACCATAAAAGAAATGAGTCTTCCACATAGAGTGATTAGTGCCAAACCTAAGACTATAACAACTACCATCTGTCACAGCAGAATAAACATCTACAGGTTGTCTCACAATATTATTTTCGTCAAGCACTTCAATATTTTTAATATAACTAGCCTTTTTAAATCCTTCTTCTGCAAATAACCCACTTCCCATAACTGTCGATGTGTGTCGTGAGTAATTCTTTAAATTTATGATTTCACCTCCCCAGTGAACTTCAGTTCCACCATTTTGTAAATGATTGAACAATGTGGAAGGCCAATACCCAACATATAAGTGAGGACCAAATTTCAACCACCAATTTCCTGTGCTAGGATCCTATAATAATAATAATATAACATATTCATTTTCAATTTTTAAATGTTATAAATTTAAGAATAATAATTTATATTATTAGATGAAAACAAGCTGTATAATCTTTACCTTCCATATACTTACGAGAAGATCGACTTGTAGACCACCAAAGGCTGAAACTTGAGGAATAGGTGAACCTAGAGCAAATGCCTGGTTGATATTAACAAAGCCAGTGCAACCTATATTATTATAGCAACCTGTTCTCACGTAACTATCGGCCTGTTTCCATGTCATCAAACAACACACATAACAAAGAGTTATGATTTTATTTTTCAACCAAAAAGAAGTAAAAAGAAAGAAATTTTCATCTACACATACAATACTTAGACACTCTAAAAATTCATAACAATAAATGGAAGTAAACTCACCGTCCAGTAGATAAAGTAATGAGGTTGATGATCACCATAAAGTCCATAGCACACCTAATCAATAACAATGATAACAAAAGAAAAAATATTAAAATATACAAAATAAATTTTATTAATAACAAAATAATTTATCAAAGATGAATATCAGTATATATATATATATATATATAACAAACAATTGCAAGAAAATATAAGACCTGCCAACCAGCTTCAATGGTGTTAAGTTGAGTACTATAGCTTCCAGCTGCAACCCATACTTGTGCTAGGCTAAATTCTTTTTCCTCTTGTACAAAAGGTCTCCACACGTTTATATACGATTGAGCTCCATGAAACTTAGCGTGAGGAGAATTTGCTACCACTCTAATTATAGCATACTATACATGTAAATAAATATACATATATAAGAAAAAACAAACATATATGTATATATATACTCATAAAAATAAAATTGATAAGCATTTTAAATAATTAATGAATGTTATGTGTACCTCATGTGTTTCGTTTGCTCTTCTAGGTTGATTGATTGGTTTATGATGAAGGAAATCATTGGGATCCTTTTTTCCATATTCTTCAATTGATTTTGCTCGTAAAATATCTTCTTTTCTCGTTCTTCTGATCGGAATACTATTTTTAGGACATATTCCATTAATTGTCCATAGTTGAGCAACCATATTTTGTTTTTTGTTATTTGAATATTTATTGGTCCATCCTTTTGGGTAAAAATTTGGTCTCATCTACAAAAGATACATATATTGAAAGTACCAGAAAAACTTTTAAAATGACAAAGTCAAATGTACCTAGTAACTCATTTTAAACGAGTTCTTTTTAGCTTTATCATCAATTTTTGGTTTAGTATAATTTTTAAGAAAGATTTGATGAATGGTGTAATTTTTGAAATAAAAGGTGATAAAACCATACTCAAAATGCATATAAAATTTTAACACTATAATAATACTGATTAAAAAATATAAGTTACAAACCTGAATAGTGTGGTTTTTGAATAAAGGATTATCATAAATTGGATGATTTTTCATGTGAACACAGTCTATGATATCTCCATTTGGACTCTATTTAATAATTACAAAACACACACAACAAAGAGTTAAAGAGCAATCAAAAGTGAAAAATTTAGTTCAATGTAATTTTGTGTAAATCCATAAATTAATTAACCTTGATGGATTTAACATAAGGCTTATTGAGTTTTTTCAAGAGTCGATTTACTGCAGCATCACGAGTATCGAAAAACTTATTTCCCGTGACTGTTACTACTAATATGACTATAAAGTTTAGCACAACTAAACAAGCCATTATCCGAAAAATCATGATAAGATTATCCAAAATATGTTGATATTTTATGAAGCATTTCTAGTTGGTTTATGGATGATTATGTTAAATACTTTATATAATACTAAAGAAACATCATGTACACAAGAAAATGAACAAATCTATGTGCTATATACTTTGATACTTTTACTATTTTTAATATGAAGATAATAATATATAATTAATATAAAGTGAATGGATATCTGTTTAAAGTGGATATTATTCATTGATATCTATTTTTTTTTTTCATTTTTTCACTTATACTTAATATGTAATATAATTTTTTTCTGAAAAGTGAGAAACGTAATCGTTAAAGATGATCTATATTAATTTTTGCTTTTGAAAAGGAAATAAAGTTAAAAATAAATATGATAAGAAATCACATTTTAAGGAAAAAACAAAATCTCATTTGTTTTGTTGGCATATCTTTATTTTAATTAATAAACTAAATAGACTTTCATGGAAATTTACTTTGCAAATCCAAATACAAAAGAAAAGAAAAGAAAATAAATGCAGTGGTTTTGTAAAGAAATTTTAAAAAATCAGCAATTATTTAAAAATTAAAATACAAAAAGAAAAAGCAACTGTTTTGTAACATTAAATTACAAAGTAAAAAATCAGTGGTTTTGCAATTTAAATTTGATGTGTGCTTAGAATGTTAAAACTAACAATATATATGCACTACTACAAAACAAGTAGAGTAGAGAATGAAGATATTAATGGTATAGGTAAACATCAATGAAGGTAGTAGTGTCTTCTCTATTGGGAAGAATTAAGGTTAATAATAATTTCCTCATCAAAAGAGAAAGGGATTTAAACTAATTGGTTTTTAAGGATTATCATAACACACTTCATAGCAGAGAAATATGTTCCAAGTTACAGTAAATTTTAAATATGGTAATTACTGAGATATGATTACAGTTATGGTTATTGAATATATGATGTACAGTATTTTCGTTGTGTACGTACATTACATGATATGAAACAAACAATTTTCAGTCGCAATCGCAATCGCAGGCTCCTGCGACTGCCAAACGAACAGCACCATAGTAGTATGTTATATCATTTTTGAAATATATAATATACTACAACAATTGTAATAGTCACACATCGGATCACCCTCACCATATTCTTATTCCAGTATTGTGAAAGGTGCATGGAAATTACGAATGATGGGCAAACCTTACTCAAAACAATATATCTCAATGCCAAACAAAAATTATAATTGGTTTCATTGACATAAACAATTTAACAACCGACGACTGCCTTTAGGAAATTTGAAGGTTGGGTTACGGTTAATGCTATGCTAATCGATCGGGTGGTTTTATATGGAAGTATCAAACCCAAAATTCATTATGCTACATCAATTGTCGAGAACACACTCATGATAAACCATATAAGAGTTTCCAGTTTTTCACTCAGCATATATAAGTTTTTGATACCAATTAACACCCATATTTCATTAATAGAGGTCCTCTAGCATTCTATTCAACAATTATGGTTATTTATTTCCTCCTACTATATAGTAAACACAGTAAACACACCAATTACATCACATGTGATTAGCTTGGTCTATACGTTACAAGGATGTTTATGAAAGACTAGTGAATCTAACATAGACAATGAGAAACCAAAAGAGATACATATCAAACGTAGGTCTAACAAGTCATGTAAAATCACACTAAAGAGGATAATTAAGTCACTGGTTGTAAGCGATGTAACAACAAACTTCCCTTTCGGAAGCAACCTATACATTGCGTAAGAGAGAAGAGACGCCGATTCATAAGGCTTTTAAGCGGATGGTATGTTTGAGAATGAGAAACCTTTATATCCTTTGTATGCGTAATATGCAATCCGTGTATAGTAAAACCCCGGGATAAACAGAAGACATCCGAGTACAACGAAGAAAACCCCTGTTTCATTCAACACCAACAATCAGACAGAAAACAGGAGTGACTTTTCGATAATCATTTAGTCTTAATAAATTTTTCTCAAAACACAAAATTAAAAGACTGTGCCTTGTTTTACGTTCTAAACCCCACTTGGTATAGACTTCTTCAGTGTTTGTATTTAAAAAGAGGGACGTGAGATAGAACCCCAAGGAAAATATACATAGAAACGATCAGTGGTTGATGTGACAATGAGAATGAGAATAACCTGTTTTCTTACACTAAGAATCTGATGCAGATGCTTGGTTTAACATAGCAATGAGGACATGTAGAAAAAATGAAGTTTCAGGCAACCAGAGAAGATCAGTAATTCAGTATATATATATTGCTAAACACATGACTTAGAAATTCATATACAAACATATTTCTTAACTGGACACAATCAAAGATAAGATCAAAGGAACAATCCATTCTGTAATTAAAAGCTCTCTCTGAACCGATGGGAAATTATCAAAGAGAGCAACCAAATATAATGCCTCTGGAGATTTGCTTGAGAGAGAGATCCTTACAAACTCCAAACCTCAAAAAAATTTTGAAGTTATTCCCTAAATCTCCCAAATTAAGTTTCTCCAGGAAACTAACAAGACTAAGACACTAATCAAAACAATACAAGCAAGCAACAGGACTACCAAATCACCCAGATTATCACTAATTTCCTCAATCTAAGCTTAATCACGAACACAGTGAATCGTATAATTAGTAACAATTGATTAATTAATTAAGGAACCGTACCGTGACCACGATCACCACCAACTCGGTTATACGCCATGAAAAAACCAGAAATAATCCCTAAGGTTCCGAACACGAGAAGAGCCACGGCGAGTGAGATCTCTTTCACCGGTGGTCGATTACTGACGGTGTACGAAGTCCCAATCATTAGGTCTTCGTCAGATATCGAGAACGCATGGTCGACGTATGCCATCGAATAAGCAAGGCTCCGATTCAAGTTCACCGGAAAAAGATTTTGGTCGCGAGAAAGAAGCTGATGATCGCAAAGCTCGAAGACGAAATCAAACTCTTTTTGCTTCCTTTATGAGTTAAATGAAGAAGAAGATGACGGAGGAGCATTAATTAAAGCAACCAAGTCTTGCCGGATTTGCTATTAACATAAGAACTACGTGTCGTTTAGTTTTGTTATTAAAACGGCAGAACGTTCGAAGTAAAAATTCGGATCAAGTATTTTTGTAACGGATAGATTTATCCTAGTTTCCAAACAAAGCCAATTCTGAGACTCTTCTTCTGAATTCAGAATTGATCGAAGAAGAGCTATTCTGAAGATCCGACAAAATGGCTCCAAGATCCGATTCGCAAAACTTAGCAACCGGCTCCGGTGTATCGGACGGTTCAGATCAATCCTCAATCGATCCTATATTCCACCTTCTCCGAATCCTCCCGTTCTCATTTCTCCGACCACCACGTCTCCGTCTCAAGATCCCATCGTTCACGCTTCCTTCTCCGATGACTGTATACGCTCTGATCCTCCTCACGTACTTCCTCGTCGTAGCAGGTTTCGTGTACGACGTCATCGTCGAGCCTCCGGGTATTGGATCGACTCAGGATCCGGTTACTGGAACTATACGACCAGTGGTGTTTATGTCGGGCCGGGTTAACGGGCAATACATTATTGAAGGTCTCTCATCTGGATTCATGTTTGTTCTTGGTGGGATTGGGATCGTTATGCTTGATTTAGCTCTTGACAAGAACAAAGCTAAGAGTGTGAAAGCTTCTTATGCTGTTGCTGGAGTCTCCTCAGTTGTGATCGCGTATGTCATGAGTATGCTCTTCATCAGGATTAAGATTCCTGGTTATCTTCATTAGGGTTTTAGATTAGTTCAATTCTGTAATGAGAACTTGAGTTATAGGCTCTATATGTGCATTGTGACTTGTTTGAACGCAGTCCTGTATTTACAGATTTGAAGAATGTATCTTTGAATTTGAATCAAAGTCTTACTAACGGTTCAATCAAGTTCTTTGGATGCATTGTGCATTTCTGTGTAGGACTAATATAATCACATGTAGGAAAGTTGAGATCTTTAAGTGGATTTGTTTGTCTTATTTCAATCTTTAAACAGAGTCATACTACATTAGCTATATAGCAGAGGAAGTAAGAGCTGGAAAGTGAAAAGATTCTCCTTTGGCTATGAATTGAGTTGATACTTTTGTTTTGTATGTGAAAAACATAGTTTTGCTCCTCAAACTATATTTGAAATTGAAGAGAGGAACATAGATTGTTGATTCCTTTGATTGTTAGAGTATGGGATATATCTGACATAAAAGCTCTTGCAGCCTAAAGAATGTGAGGCCTTGTGTGTTAGCTTTAAATTGAATTGCTTTCTTTCTCAGTGTAATCTTTAGTCTTTTGCTAATGTCTAAAGAATCAGGAAGAGAAGAGGACAGATGTTCTGAAAGAAGACAGTTTATTCATGAACAATTTGGTGTGCATAGAAACAGGGACCTGGTGGCTGGTGCAAGCATATATAATGGAAAAAAACCAAGAATTCTAGAATCTGATGAACATATTGAGAAACTCTCTATACATTTTATGATGCTAATAGGTTTGGCCTTGATGCTACAGTTGTGCATAGCTTGTAGGAATATTGAAATTCTCGGTTGTTGTCTCTTCTATCTGCTGAAATAGGTTTTTGGAGAAAAGAGACGACGGGGAGAGAACATTCCAGAATACCTAGGGGAAGCAAGACTGTCGATGGAACGGTACTCAGGCATGATGAACCCTTCTCTCTCCTCTCTGTTCCAGCTTCTTGATCCGCCATTGAAAGTCCCATATTTCACCAATTTACCAAATCCCCACGACTTCTTTTTGCTGGGACTCTTTGGTGAGCCACCATTCATCTTCTGTGTCAGATACTCTCTCACCACCTGCAAATTCTGCTCCATCACCTCGATGGGCGGGGATACAAGCGGGTTTCCTTCAACACTCAGCTTCCTTAACCGTCTCATGCAGCCAATGGACTCAGGCAAGGCAGTGATCCTGTTGTAGCTAACATCGAGCTCAATGAGGTTCATTAGAAGGCCAATGGAAGCTGGGAGAGCGGAAAGGTACTGGAAATTCTGGCTGACATTGAGGATCTCGAGGTTGATGAGATTCTCGAGATCATCCGGTAGAATCATGAGGCAGTTGAGACGGGCATCGAGGACACGGAGAGATGTGAGGTGAGTAATGGAGATTGGGAGGCTAATGAGCTTGTTGGAGTTGACAGAGAGCTTCTTTAGATTTGTGAGCTCAAATCCAATGGAGTCTGGTAATCTGATTAGTTTGTTGAAGTTTGCATTTAGTTCTTCCAGAGACCTGAGATAGAAAAGCCAAGACAAAAATTTGTGAATTAGTGATTGTTGGGGATGTTGTGAGAGTTTTATGACATATATGGTTAACCAGAACCTGCAATGTTGGATAGATTTGGGGAGGGAAACAAGAAAGTTGCCGGAGACATTGAGGTTCTTGAGCTTAGAGAGACAACCAATGGAGTTTGGAAGAGCTTTGATCTGATTCGAGTGAACATCTAATGCTATCAAGTTGAGTAGTCTCGCGGTAAGTGATTCTGGTATGGTCTACGTCACATCCAAAATAGCATCAGAATATTAAGAAAAGGCCTCATGATTATAAATATGTGTTATAGAAATGAACCTGGAGATTATTGTTGGAGAGATCAAGCTTGCAAATCTGAGCTAGATTGAGTGAAGGGTTGGGGAGAGACTCCAATGCCATCCCACTCAAATTCACAACCTCTAGCCTCTCTGCTTCCTCATTATCAATAATGTTATTAAAGGATGATGATCTAGGTGATGATGATGATGGTGATGATGGAGACGATGGGGATGATAATGGTGATTTCTTCCGTTGATAATGATGATTATTATCACGTTGATCCATCATCATCATTGTCATCATTTGTTCCTTTTGTATTTGCGGTTGCTGATGATGATATGCCTCCTCGCATATCATCTTTCATTCTCTATATGTTTATGGTTGAAGAAGAAGAAGAAGAAGAAGAAGAGAATGATCAAAATGATGTTAGAAGAAAGAAAGAGAGAGTTTTAAAAAGCTTAATATGGTGTTTCACAAATGTGTGTGTACGGAGAGACTATAGGAGATGTGTACGGTGGAGAATTTTTTTTGGTTGGGTTTTAAAAAAGGAAGTAAATCGATTTAAATTAAATCAAAAATAGATTAATTAGGTAATTAAAGAAGTATGGCTTCATTTTTAATTAGTGGTCAAGGTTTTCCTAAACCTACCTAATTAAAAACAAAAATAAAGTCAAATGCTACGCAAATTACTCTTTTTTATTTGTAATCAGTCTTTATTGTTTTTATTGGCATCTTTTGACCAAATCAAAAGGAATGTTCTATCATTCATTCTCACTAAACTATCAAAAAAACATGAACTTGTGTTACACAAGTAAAAATACTCCTATTGATATATATAAATGTACTTTTGACACATGAGTCTCTTTTTAACTCGTACGTACGTATTCATATAAAGAAAAAAAATGTTCACACTGGTTTAATTTGTCTCATCTTTCTCAAATACCACGTACAAGTTGGTCAACGTTGGTCTATCCGACACAAAGACGTAAAAATGCTATCATGATGAAGTTTCCAAAAAACTATCCACACTAGTCATTAATCATAAATCATAATTATCATCACTTTTTGTTGTGTCATTTGTGATTAATAACAGTGTAGTAACTTTGGGTTGATATGATTAGTAAAGTTTCTTAGGAAGAACCAATCGGTTAACACTTGTGCTGATGTGTTATGATAAGATTAAAGGATGTGTCATGTGTGACGACGTCAACATCCTTAAAACAACATCCTCTCAAGAAAAATATTAGAGGTTTTCTTCGAAATACGTGAATCGTTTTGAGGGTTATTTATAAACATTTCCTCTTCATTTGACTCATCCTTCCACCTATCCACCCTTGACATCAAACACGTACCACCACGTAAGCATCTTCAAAGTTGCCACGTGTTCTCAGCTCTCATGTCATAAATAAGCCGAGAAGTCTTACAAGAAGATATACGCATCGAAGCTGCTAGAGAAAGAGGACAGAGATGGAGGCAACGAAAGAAAGAATGGAGAAAGAACAAAAGAAGAGAGACGTGACCAGTGAGGCAGCGGGAAAGAGCGAAGAGAACACGACGGTGAGAGCTATCATTCGCGAATCTGTAGTGGAAGGCAGAGGAGGTGACGATGCAAAAGACGGCGGCAGTGGCACTCGCAAGCCGGAGGACATTCTTGCTTTCTCAAGAACCGTACGGAAGATCGATTCGTCGCTTGAGTAGCAGTCAATTAACTAATGCATGTTGCATAGGTTCAAAGACCATTAATATATATCTCAACTGTGAACTGAGTGGTGTTTATAATTTAGTTTAAATTGTACTCGAGAGTGGTTCATATCTTTATTGTATATTTTCAGTTGATTTACGTTTGTGAAACTTTTTATGAAGAGAAAAGAATGACCTAAACTTATCTATCTGCCTAGAAACGACACACTAGAGTTTATTTAACCACAACCAAATAAAACTTAAAATACCTTCAATCTACATTTGATTTTATACACAAACACCAACATTATCGTAGAGAAAGGAATAAGTCTTTCGTGATATACAACATTGGGCTTAACATGTTACTTTTATCAGAAACGTCAATATCTCAAGAAAACTCTAGACTTCTCTCGAGTAAATGATTTATATAAGCTTAGATTATGTTACTCTCGAGTGTAGTGTAGAGAAAAAAAGAAGATGTCAATAATTCCGATCAATGATCGCCGGAGACTATCTCCCGGCAACAGAATCTTGGAGCCATTTGAACTCATGAACACCTTTCTTGATTTTGCATCACCATCATCATCTCTCTTTCTTTCTCACCACTTCCCTTCATTTTCTCGAGAAATATTCCCATCAACCGTCGAGACGCAGCTAAATTGGACGGAGACTCCCACGGCTCACGTTTTCAAAGCGTATCTTCCGGGAGTGACTCAAGACGAAGCAATCGTGTTCGTAGACGATGAAGGATACCTCCAGATCTGTACTGGCGACAACAAGTTCATGAGCAGATTCAAGCTTCCTAACAACGCCTTGACGGATCAGGTCACTGCATGGATGGAAGATGGCTATCTCGTCGTGTTCGTCGCGAAAGATGGTTCTTCTTCGCCACCACAGTTGCCGGAGATTGAGGAGAATCGTAACGTCAGAGTCGTGGAGATCACTGGCGATGATGATTAGTTAAAAACTTAAAAAGTTTTAACCTTCAAAACAGAACACAGTCTAGTATCAAGTCGAATGTAATATATAATAAAGTATGTTTGATATTATTATGTATCAGAGAACTATGATAAGGAGAAATCAAAGAAGCAATGGGAAGTATAACAAACCATCTTGATGTACTTGAGTTGTTTAAGGATCTCACTTGTCTCTAGTTCCTGAAAAATTGAACACAAGATGCATTGTGTAAACTTTGATGATTTTTTTTTGCAGTGTATGTAGAAATCTGTTCAAGAATCGAAATGACAAGTTCATGGAGAAAGATGAAGCAAAACTGTTCGAGAATTTTCACTGCTTTTACCAAGTACTAGACTCATGGCTGGCTGCTAACTTATCAACCTAGGAAGGACTTCTCTTTGATGAAAAGAGGATAGTTGTAAAGAGAGTTTCTGATACCAAAAGACGCAGCCATGTGTATATTAGTCAAATTAAGCATATTTATTCATTCTTGTTACACCAGTTGTTGAGTTATAGATATAAGACAAGGAAGCAGGTACTAATGAGAAGCTTGATGAGAAGGCGAACAGATAGAAAGGTATATTTAAGACAAGAGCATGAGCCAAATAATAGAACATGGATAATTGTTTAACTCACCTACGACATTTTCCGCAGATATCTCCATTAGTATCTTCCTCCCTGCACTGAAGCCAATTGACTGCAGACCATTGTTTCTTACTATTCTTGGCCTTCTTGAGATCCTGCAAAGATAGGCAACTATCTGAAATCCAGCCAACTCTTTGACAACATAAATCTATGCTTATTCAATATACTGAGAGCTTACATGAATGTATTCTGACTCATCAATCTCCAAGGGTTTACCAAGAAAAAAAGTATCACTACATTGAGATCAAAAAGCTTTTGAATGTCAACCAAATAAAAGCCACTCATTTTGGTGAAAGGGAAAACAATCATTTACCAGTAGACAGACATCTCTGATATTACGATAGAACTCAAAAATTCAAAGGACTGTTGATTATCGAATTGCATACCTCATTGTTGGACCTGACCAGTCTGGAGCATCTGCTTGAAACTCTTTTCCTATCTGGATTCCTATTACAATGGTACTGTAACTCTCCATTTCAGTTCCCGGGAAATTCTCCTCTTAAATCTTGGTTTCAAACAGAATGGACATCTTTTTAACAGTTCCTGGCTTATCACAATGCTTACACTGCCTGAAAGGGCTGCTGCTACTGTCTGTATCTGTCTCAGACTCCCCAGCATCAGAGCTATGTGCAATGTGATCTGTCTCGATGGATCTCGCCAATCTCATTTATTTCAGTCATTTTCTGGAACTGAGACACAACCAGGAAATGAATTTGTAACTGAAGCAAATTTGATAATTGAAACTGTGAACTCCTGTACGTAACAAGATAAGTAGATTGTCAAAGTTAATAACTTATTATTGAGTCCTTATCATCACTTTTGGAAGTCAAATAAAATCTTTATTAAAGAGTTTACATATTCATTACTGAAAAAGTATAGTCTCCAAGAGTTTCAAAAGAATTAATCAGACGACTACAATCATGAGGCATTCTGACAGAATAATATTCTGCATATCATGAAAATAACAGAAAAGCAAAAACAAAAAGCTTACGTGTTATTTACAATGTGGGTTCGATTCCATTCTAGTAAGCTGCTTTCCTTTTTGTATCTATAGCGCTATCATCAACTCTAGCTTCCTCTTTTTTCTGCTCCAAGAACCTCACTGATTCTATTTTCTCAAACTGGTCGTTGAGCTTCCAAGGTTTCAGATTGTGTTTGCATATTAAAAGGAGAAAGTAGAAGTCAGAGAGTTAGATGCTGCAGAATGTGATATGTTATTATCCTCCCGATATCAGACGCCCTTTGCAAAAACAATTTCTTCAAGTAGCATGGATGCATGCTTTTCAGAGTTCATAAATCTCTTTCCTTCAAGCCCCACAACTAGTGCACGATGGGTACTCTCATTTGGAAGCATTCCCCTTTGAACCATCAAACCAATTAACTCACATGCTTTCTCAATATCTCCTACAGTGCAATATCCATGGATGAGCGTATTATACAAAATCACATCTGGCTTTAGCCCGGCATCAAGCAACTTATCAAACAAAACAATAGCTTTCTCCATTCTCTGCGCTCTGCAATAGCTATGAAGTAATGCACTGCATGTTACAACATCAGGTTGCACTCTAAGATCAGCCATGTAGAACCACAAAAGAAATGCTTCCTGAAAATCCCTCCTCTTTGAGAACCCATCAATCACATCAGTGAATGCAAATGCACTAGGAACGAAGCCCCGTCGGATAAGCTCATTGATAATTTCATTTGCTTCATCTACATATCCTCTAATTACCATGCTATGTATCAAAATATTGTAGGTTGCAACATCTGGAGAAATACCAGCAGATCTCATTCCATCAATAAGCTCAAAAACTTTATTCAGCTGATGTGTCTTCCCATACCCATACATCAGATTGTTATACGTTACAACATCCGGTCCTAAACCCTCAATTTTCATATTCCAAAACACAGACTCTGCATCAACTATGCTTCCAAATTTGCTGCAAACACCAATAAGTAGTGTATATGTTTTTAAGGATGGCGGGTTCCCACTTTTCAACAGCCCCCCGAAATACTGAAAAGCTTTATCTGTTCTACCTAGATTACAATACCCATCAATCATATTTGTATAACAAACACAATCAGGAAGGAGTCCCAACTCGAAAATCTCCTGAAATATGGTAGATGCTCTAATCATGTCTCCTGTGGTACATATATTTGACAGAAAGCTACTGTACACATAAATGTTTGGTCTAAGATGAAAATAATGGATGACCTTAATGGCTTCCTCTGGTTTTCCTACCTTACAGAACCCATCGATAACAGAACTGACGGATACAGAATCCAGAGAGATACCAAAGTGTTTGAGTTTAAACAATATTGCAGTTGCTTCCTTTAGAAACCCTGCCTTACATAATTTATTAGCTAAAACTGTAAATGCCACAATATCGGGTCTGATGCCATAGTAGTTCATCCCCATGAGTAATTCCCAACCTTTATCAAAATAGCCATCAGAGCAGTATTTGCTTACGAATAGGCTAAGCACAGAAGCATTTAGATGCCTCCCTCGACTAAGCATGAGCTCAACAAATTCCCGAGCTAACTCCAAGCCATGAACTCGCAGAATATCCTCAAGCAACGAAACACAAACCCCTGGTGAAGGAAAGATGCCAAACTGGTCCATTTTGTAAGTTAGTTTCAGGGCCATATCAGTTTTTCTCTCTTTAACGCAACAATCAATCAGTATGCAAAACACAGTCTCTAAAACCCGACGATCAATACGAGTTTCAAATAGATCATTCATAACCAAACACAAGGAGCTCTCTTCTCCACTACATTTCTTCACCAGACAGAGAAGCATATCTACAGCTCTATAATTCATATTTCCAGAAACCAAAATATGAATCATTCGGCTGATAGACCTGCTCGAGTGCTCAACGCCAATCCACAACTCCGACCACCTAAAGAAGTATAAAGCAATAGACGCATCCAAAGTCTCCTCAAACAAATCATCCAAAATCCTAATGACACTGTACTGATCAAGTTCACTACTAAACCCACTCTCATGTTTCTGTATCCAACTGTGTTTCATAAGCACATCTCTAATAGTTTCAACACAGTCATTAGGGACCTCAATATTCCTGAGAATCGAATCAAAACCTTCCCCAAAATGCTTACTTGAACTAATCCTTGCATCAGAAACATTGTACCGTGGTCCAGAGAAGGTTAGATTACCTGAATCAACTCTGAGTTAGTGCGAAATCTGAAAAATAAAAAATTGGAGAAGAATCGAAGGTGTGTATGAAATGAAGTGTGCTTAACTAAATTTAAAGTATGAGTCTACTGGTTGGGTAGAGATATCTGACTGTTCTTGATTCTTCTTTTGAAACAAAACATGTTGTAACAAAGTCAGCTCTTCAGATTCGAAGCCATGTAGATTCCAACTCCAAGGCCGACGAGAAAGCCGATGCATCCTCACCCTAAAAATTGCAGAGAACCAGATGCAAAGGAGATTGCATACAGTGAGCTTGTGAATTTGTAACTTCAGATGAAAAAGAGATAACTAAGACGTGGTATTACCTCAGATCCAATTACTTAAACCTCTGCTAAATCGGAAAAGAAAGAGATTCGGAGAAGACAGTACTGAGACGGAGAGAGAGAGAGAGATTGGGAGAGACGACGATTGGTTATCTTACAGAAATCAAACCGGTTATCTAATTCAATAAACTATAAATGGGCCTTCCCTTTATGGGCTTATTTCAAATTTTAAGGTCCACATACTTTTATCAAATGTATTATATGTTTGTATAAATGGGTCCTTAATGCTTTCCTGAGAAAAGCCCATCTATACACAACAAAAACTTCCGAGTTTCAGACATATCTCGGCGAGTGGCGTCGGCAAATTCTCTCTCTCTCTCTAATGGACTCTCTGGTAGCGAGCTACGCTTCGTCGGACGAAGAAGAAGAACCTCAACATCGAAGAGAAGCTTTCACCGTGAAATCATCAAAACCTTCTTCTTCTTCTTCGTCTCTATTCTCAGTTATTCCTCAACCTAAAGAAGCCAGATCTTCCGAAGATGGTAATTTGGGTTCGTCTTCTTCTCGAGTAAAATCGTCTCCGTTCCTCTCCTCCCTCCCTCCTCCTAAATCCTCAATTTCACGGCAACAAGGTCCTACTCCGTCGTCAATTCCGAAACGTGTCGTTCAGATCAGGCTTCCCGTAAACCCTAGACCGAGCAATTTTGATGATGAGGATGACGAAGAAGAAGAGAAAGCGAGGAAGAAGCGTAAGCAGATGGAATCTGCCTCCGCATCTCACGATTCATCAGTGAAGTCGTTCTTATCCGCCATGCCTGCACCTAAGAAGAGCTCGCAAACACTCGGCGCTCTTCCTTCATTGGGATCAGGATCAGGGCGAAGATCGAATCTCGAAACGGAGACACCTGCAGTTGCAATTCCTCAAACGGAGTCAGGTAGTAGTGATCAAAACCAGAGTTATGAATCGTTTAGCCATAGTAATAGCGGAACGGAACAAGCTGGTGGAGTAGATAACTATTATGCTGCTGGTTATAGTGGATATGAAACGAATCATAGTGAAAGTGTGGGATATGATGCTAGTAGCTATGGAGGTAATACTTGGAACGGTGGTGGTTATGAGGCTACAACGGGATTGCCTGAAGCAGTTGTAGCTATGGATAGTGGTGCTAGGAGGGGAAGGAGAGGGAGGAATCAGATGCCAGAGATAGTTGAGGTTAAGCAAGATGAGCTCATGAAGAATAGGCCAAGAGCTGATCAGGTTAAATCTACTGGAATCGCCTTTGGACCTGCTTATCAGGTTTGTTTACGTTTGCTTTCTAAACTCTTTTTTACTTTTGCTTTGTCTTTATTTGGCTTGGAAGAACTTGGAATTTGTCGCTAAGCTCTGTAGTTTCCACCGGTTCTGTAAATCTGAAGCCTTTTCTCATAGGGAGTTTTTATTTGAGAAAAGTCTGAAATTTAGTAGGTGAAAGTAAGGACTAGGAGTTGTGAATTTATGTCCTGTTTGTGGCTGCCAATGTTAAGTTTGTTCTGTCTTGCGGCAAAGTTTCTTTGGAACAAGTTGCGAGTTGTCTCTAGGGTCTCTTATTACTACCTTTGCTTGTAGGAGAATTCCATATTAGGTAATCAGATATTCGTGATATGCTCAAAGATTAACCCTCAGGAGAATCTAGGATTTGCAGATTGTCTCTTGTATGTCAAGTTTTGCTGCAAAATTTATTTGTATAGGAACTGAGCCATTTGATATTTTACCAAAATTACTGTATGGCTCGCAGAAAATACTTGAATTCTTTGTATTGCCTTATAAATGTTGTCTTTGTTCTCATTTGTCTTGCAGCCGGAAACATCTTCATCTAAAGGCAAAGTGTCGAAGCTTCACAAGAGGAAACATCAAATCACTGCATTATTCATGGACATGAAGCACAAAGAGACAGAGTTGACAGAGAGACGTTCTAGAGGATTGCTCACAAAAGCCGAGACACAAGCTAAATACGGATGGTGATTTCTCCCAATTTGTGATATTGGCAACAGATTTTCTGTAACTCACAGTGTGTAACTTTTTTTCTTTTACTTCTTCCAAAATCCAAGCTTTGAATGTGTATTACTCATATTCCTTAAAATGAATCCAATCTCATGAAAATAATTTGACTTTCAAGCTGATTTTAGATTTTGTTGCATTCAAGATAATTCTCAGATATAACCAAGAACCTGCTCCAAAATACAAACGTTCTATTCACTACCCCTGTTTTAGGAGCTAACAAATTATCTGAACCTAATTAACCACTTATAAAGCAACTTGATATCCTCAAGTTTAGCCATTGGTACAAAACTCAGTGGTGCTTCACAAAAAATTTCTGATATTACCTTCCTAATTTCTATAGTGTCTAATCCAAAAGCATATGCATTTGATTGTGTCCATCAAGATTTTCCTTTGCTACGTGATTTATTTCGACGTTTTGGTCCTAGCTTTCGCTTTTTGGCATCTGAACGAGGTCTAAGCTGCAGAGGGAAGTAGCTTTAGATCCTTGAAGAGAACATAAGACTATGGTAAGGATTAGATCAAAACAAGCAATGAGAAATATAACAAACCATCTTGATGTACTTGAGTTGTTTAAGGATCTCACTTGTCTCTAGTTCCTGAAAAAATGAACACAAGATGCATTGTGTAAACTTTGATGATTTTGTTTTTTGGAGTATTCAAAAATCTGTTCGAGAATCAAAATGACTTGTTCATGGAGAAAGATGAAGTAAGACTGTTACGAGAATTTTCACTGCTTTTACCAAATACTAGACTCTTATGACTGCTAATTATTCAACCTCAGAAGAATATTCTTTGTGGAAAAGAAGATAGTTGTAAAGAGAGTTTCTGACCTGAGGGGCGGCACAGTCAGCACGTGATGGATCCCAAAAGACACAGCAGAAGCATTCCCAGTCTTTGGTTTGTACTTCTGAACGAGGAGCCCTGTGTATATCCAGTCAAATTAAGCATATTGAGTAATTCACTTTACACCAGTGGTTGAATTATGATATGAGACAAGAAATAAGGTACTGGTAAGAAGCCTAAAGAAAAGGCGACAGATAGCAAGGTAGATTCAAGACGAGAGCATGAGCCAAAAAAAATGGAACATACAAAATTGTTTAACTTACCTACGCCACTTTCCGCAGATCTCTCCATTTGTATCTTCCTCCCTGCACTGAAGCCAATTGACTGCACACTGTTGTTTCTTACTATTCTTGGCCTTCTTGAGATCCTGCAAAGAGAGAAGAATGGCAGCTATCTGAAATCCAGCCAACTCTATGACTAACTTATGCTTATTCACTATACTGAGAGCTTACATGAATGTATTCCGACTCATCAATCTCCAAGGGCTTACCAACAAAAGAAGTATCACTGCATTGAGATCAAATAGCTTTTGAATGTCAACCAAATAAAATACACTCATTTTGGTGAAAGGAACAACAATCATTTACCAGTAGACAGACATCTTTGATATTACGATAGAAATAAAAAAATTCAAAGGACTGTTGATTATCGAAGTGCATACCTCATTGTTGGACCTGACCAGTCTGGAACATCTGCTTGAAACTCTTTTCCTATTCGAACTCCTATTACAAACGGTACTGTAACTCTCCATTTCCGTTCCCGTGAAATTCTCCCCTTTGTCTTGGTCTTTGATGACTTATTTTTCAAGCAGGATGGACAAAGCCAGTCATCTATCTCTGCAACTTCTTTCATTCGAACACCACAGCACCTTGTATGATATGCTTCTTCACAATCATCACAAATTAGCATTTTTTCAACAGTTCCTTGCTTATCACAATGCTTACACTGCCTGAAAGGGCTGCTGCTACTGTCTGTATCTGTCTCAGACCCCCCAGCATCTGAGGAACAGCAATCATCTTCCCTATTTTTACTGGAACTTGAATCAAGTTCAGACCTGGAATTCAATGAAGAACAGCTGACATTTGTTCCATCAGAAGAACATGTCACTTCGGTTACTTGGGTATCGTCTACAAGTGCTAGAGAACTGACAATAGAAAGTCGATCACCATTTTTCTTGGTTACGGTTGGGTCATGTCTACTAGCAAAAGGTCCTCTGAATTTGAATTTTTTCCGGGTATAAACTAAAAATCCATTAACCCGGACACCAATAGATTTTCCTCTCTGCTTCCTCCGGCTATACATAAGCAAGACACCAGATCTATCTCCATTTCTCTTGGTTTCCCCAATATTCACTAACTCCTTGCTCTGGCCGCAAACAGCTTGATGACCACTTTTCTTGATTTCTCCAGGGTTAAGTCCACTATCAGCTTTAACAATCTGTCCCCCTTGGCTACATGCAGAAGAGTCAGCTTGATCGTAGCTTATCTTGGTTCCTGCAATGACATGTGAGCTAAAACTACGACTGTTGAGTTTCACTCTACTTTTTTTTCTGCTATACACAAGAACATTATCTGATCGATTGCCTCTTCTCCTGGTTTCTCCACAGTCATGCTCAGAGACAAAAGCATCATCAAGCCCATCACCTCTTATCGTAGTTTCTCCAGTAAAAGTACAACTGGCTTTCCCTCTCCTTTTTTTCCGGCTATAGACAAGACAGTTGTTGAAGCGATCTTTCCTTTTTGTGCTTTCTTCAGGGTTATGTAAAGAGACAATAGAGTCATGAAGTGAATCATCCTGTTTCCTGTTTATTCCTAGGTCAAGTTCTACAGTTCCCCCAGGTTTTAAGCTGCTCTTCCTTCGACGATACACAAGTGAAGTCAGGGCCTTTTCCGCTACCTTGTGCATAACAGAATTCTCTGGACAACTTACTTGAAGTTTTGGATGTTTTGATTCATCAAGATTCATTGCATCAGTGACTGGAACAGCTTTAAAAAGGCTTACTTGAGACTGTTCGGGAACTTTGTGGATCATCTGATAAGTTTCAGCAAGTGACGCCCAATCATATGCAGCAAATGGGTCTTGATACTCGGATACGTTCAGCAGACTAGTTTCAACAGAAGAGCTAAACGAACTTTCCGCCAACATGTTTTCCTGAGAAACTCAAAAGTAGCTGAAAGCACATTACTTTTCTAAGTACAGATGAATCTTTTGGTCAACTTCTCCATGTAGTCACTCTGGAATGGTAGAGGTCATATGCTTCTGATCTCCTAAACATAGAAAACAAAACATGGAACAGAGTCAATATGCAAGAAAACCAAATCCTATGATTACCACAATAAAGAAACAGTAAGTTCTCTTCTGATTACTAGTTTGGATCAGTTTCACAGTACATAATTTTAGTCAAACACATTGTTTTATACTCATTCCAGTCAGGAACCCAAAAGGGTTACTCTCCTAATTCTTATTTTAATAGCTTTGTGGCACTGCATTCTAAGCCTCATCATCTCCAATAGGAGTATAGGACTCCTCACTAAGTTAGTCCCTCTAGTGACAAAATGCAAAATTTCCATTCAGAAAAACCATTAATCCTCTCACTAAGTTCGTAGTCCAGGATGTTCCTAAATCCAAATCCAGCAACCCAAGTTTAGAAAACCACAAAAAAAATTAGATCTAACATGACTCAAATCTGGAAACCCATGTACCCTTCAATCTAGATTCAAGCTAAACATATCTATCTACAGCATCTTAAATCCAGGTTGCATAAAACGATTGTCAAGTAAAATTTCTCTTAATATGCTAAAATCCAAGTCTTAATCTCTGAAAAAAAATAATCTTCCATTCATTATAATGCCTGAGAAATTCACAACAAAACATGTATTCGTTCTTATTAAAACCCTAGAACACAATCAAACCATCGGAGCCTAAACACCAAAAATTCAATTCCAGTAAATCCACAAACATTCATGTACCTCCCACATATCATAGCAAAATCCAGTACAGAACAACAAACAATACAATGAGCATCGATACACATACACAAAAGTTTCGTACAAGAAGGAGAACACAAGAACAATCTCGCACCCCAATTTACCAGATGACTACGAAGAGACAAGTGAGCAACACCCTCGTTTGGGCTTATTTGTGGCGTTTCCTCTGCAACTTAGCCTCTCACTCCTCCACTGACTCACCCAAGTTTTCGCTCTTTTCTCTCTCTCTCTCTCTGTCGCCTCTCGCTCTGTCTCTCTCTCTCTCTCTAACTCGCTGCTAAAACAAACAACTTTATTTGATTTCTTCCTGTGGAAATATTCTGCATTATATATAAACTTCAGAATCTAATTTATAAATTAACCCGGTCAGATTTTTTTCTTGTGTTAAAAGGGTCACTTTTATTTTAGTTTCTTGCATTCTTATCCCTGAATCTGATTTTTCATACCCCAAAATTATAAGCAATAGCAATGAAGAAACACAAACATTTATATATTTACAAACATAGGTGTTGAACAGTACAAAGTTACATGTGTTCTTGAACTTGTTAGTTCCAAACTTCCAATAAGATCATACCATTACAAGACTACATATGATTTTCACCAAGAAGCTCAACCGTTTCTACTATGGGAATGAGCATACACTAGTGAGTCTCTCTTGGACCTAAAACAAGAAGACTTGTTTAAGAGGTTCCTTGATTTTCTATGTTCTAAGTCTCAATGGCATGATCTTCAGGTCTAAGGAAAGCTTCTCCGTTACTGCTTCAGAGCCAGTTCTCCTCTTGTTTCTTTGTCTTCGAAGCTCATATCGTTGTTCAATCTCGTCAAGGGCAAAAACTCAGACAATGACAATGATGTGACATTTTAGAAGTTGCAAAAAGAGTGTGCCTACTAATGGCAATGATCAAACAAAAGATGAGAGCAGTGCTGAACTATGAATTTTCCACTTCTGTTTTGCACTTACACCTTAAGAGACGAGAATACTAGTTGTGCTACTACTGTGTCTTTTGATACGTGGATGAATGAACAAAAAGAGACACTTACCTGCTGACTTCTTTACCTTTGATCCCGAGGTAACATCATATTGATAGTACACATGCCCTTCTAGTTTGAGTGCGAAGTAGTTTCATTTGCAGAATCTTGAAATGTTGCTATAGCCCCAGAATTCTCAGAGACTGCTTTAATATAGTGAGGTTGTTGAGAGAAACCTTGTTTAGATATCTTAGAACCCACCTCCTACTCTTCAATGTCAGATGTTGTTGCACCATTTGCTGACCTGACAATGGAATTTAAGGATATTGTTACCGACGACATTAGAGCATATGAAGAACTGATACTGACCAACCAATGTTTATTAACTATTTGAATGAGGTGCTATAGCATAACTTGTTCTAACTTTGGATGCTGGATACCTATAACAGTTGGAAACAAGTACTTCTCTCACGGATACCTTCTTTAGTTCAAATTCCAACTTCTATGAAATAAGGCCCCTCAATCCCTCATGGTTCTGCAAACATCTGATGAACTTACTGCTACATAATGAAAGCAGTTTGAACATTTTAGACCCAGTAATCAGATTTTTTTTTTATTAACTGCATTAGAGATTAGTAAATAGGAAGCATATGTTGGAACTTAACAACCCCACTGGGGAGTCTGAAAAATCGAATAACTTCATCTTCTACAGAGAGTTTTTCATCTCCTCTTCTGGTGTTTCTCCATCCAGGTCTCTCTAACTACTTTTGCACATAATTTCAAGTTTGTATCTGTTACTTAGCCCTCAGTCTTCGTCTTCACAAATCTGCTCATGTAAAAGAAAGTCCTTTCCGAATACCTCCTAATAATCAAGCAAAAATCTTAATATATAACAATTGGACCAATAGTGTTGCAAAATATTCAAATTGAAATCATTATCTAATGAGAAGGTGGTCTAATGAGCATGTAGAGGTTAAACAACTTGACATTATCAGTCTTGCAGAATAAATGGAAGACAAATCATATGGTTCCCCATACCATTGGATATTACTACCAACTTTGTTAATAAAGAAACAACACTGTCATGCTCTTTCATGCGTAAACTACTACCCTGTGTATAATCTCAAAAGTAATTTCTTCCTCTGCTTTGTTCTTGAAAAAAATCAATAAAGGGATTTAACTAAAAGGTACTCACATAGTATAGTCGTCAGCTCTCCATTGTCTTGACCTGGATACAATTTTTTCATTGCTGGTTTCAACTAAGGGAACCCTATTGCGAAATGCATGACCTTTATTTTGGAGTTCCAAATCATGGCCTGATGAATCCTATCGAAAGCTTTTACACCATTAGAACAGCAGCTCAAGCTGCCACCTTCATCACCAGAATTTCCCAAGCCACCAATGCTATTTCCACCTTCTTTCGCTTCAGGATCATAATCACCATTCTCAGAGTCATCCAGAAGCTAATCCATATCATCATTGAGTAACCTTTCAGTACCAGTATAGAGACTAGCTTCACCTCTGAATATATCTAAGAAGCGAGTAAGAAGTCTCAGAAGTAGAAGAGTAAAAAGAGTTCTGATATACTGTATATAGAAGAAGGAACATCTCTTAACTCAGTTGAAGATACCTGCGTCTTTGCTGTTTCTATCTCTTCATTTATTCTGAAAACCTTGTTACGGTGTACCAGAGACTGTGTGGCAATCCCAACTGCTGCGACTCGACCTTCAAAGTCATAAGAAGGTCTGGAGAAGAAATGAAAATTATTGATCAGAAACAGACAGTCTTTATCATCTTTGATTCATACACTCCAGCAATGCATTAAATTAATGGCAACACGGTCTAGCAACTGCTCTCGTATAGCACCTTCTTCTAAATTATATTGCAACTAAAAGTGGCTTACATGGGTGCCTAAATCTGATTACTTCTCTTTCAAATATATTAATACTATCCGTCAATACATTGAGAAGCAAATTCCTTATTCCCTCATCTAAGAGATTTATTTTATCAACACAAAACACTCCTCAATGGGCTTCAGCCAAAAGACCGGGTTGGAAAAAAGCTGTCCCCCTTTTCACAGACGCCTCAACATCAACAGACCCATTGAGTCTTGTCTTCTATGACTACTAGAGGAATATGTGTAATACAAATGATAGAATACCCCCAAGTAACAAGAAAAGTAATTCAGATAGGTTCATATGGATCCTAAAACTAAATGTACCTGAGTGAAAGGAGATTTGGCAATCTCAGCCTTAACGCTGTTATCAGCTCATTGTACTCTATTCGCTCAGCTTAGTCGTCTTCCCACCTACATGTTTTATAAGAATACAAACCGGTAGTATACAAATAGAGAAGAGGAATAGAGGATGCAATTAAAAGAAACGGTCTAGTTCGTTTTCAGGTTGTAATATTCTTACTTACTCATCTGTACAAGCTGGCTCAGCCATTAAATATTGAGCCTACAACGACTTTTTTTTTTTGCAGCCCCTCTACCACCTGGAAATAGCAATCCCTCTGATTTCACGTTCAACCCTGCCAAATAACAAACAACATTACTTGAAGCAAATAAACTTATATATTCTGTAAGGCTTTTTGCATCTGGTGACAAAAAAAAAGCTACATACAGAAAATTATAGTTTGGTTATCTCTGAAATGAAAATGTATCCAGGCAGGTTTAAGTATGAGCTAGCTCAAACAAAAGGAAACTCTTGGATACTCAGTACTCACCCACTTATCATACATTTCCTTGAACGCTGGATACATATTGTTTTTCTCTGGTATAAGGCGATGGCCAAAGGTTTACCTGTTCTCTCGAGCTCCTTATTTGCTTGACCTTTTCCAATTACACCCAATGAGCATAAAAGATACATTTATGTGGCACAAACCTATAGTGGAATGTAGCAAACCAATCACTGGTATGTAACATAAATCTATAGTGTGGAGTATTTTGACTATGGAAGATATATGGATATTAATCTAACAAGACATATCTTTGAACTGGAGTTGCTATCATGACTCGATAACAGAGAAGTTAAACATCTGTAGAGTAGCCTTATGATAAGACTCATTTGTAAACCAAATATTCATTTCTCTATCCAAGAACAATTTAGAGCAATTCCATGGTGTAACAGACACATAAAACACATCAAATTCCTCAATTTTTAAGTAGTGATACACAAGAACAAGTCTAAGTGATATGATGAATATAACAAAACACAGACATTATACATATACAAAGTCATTGAAACGGTTCAAAGATCATATAAAACTGTTAGTTGATTAGTTTATATAATATACAGCAACAATTGATTCAAAGATATTTATGAAATCCCCACTTTTCTAATCCGAATCGGGAAGAAACCAACCCAGAAAGTTTTATACACGAAGGAGCTCATATTGAGACAGGATTGAGATAGGTTACTTGCGGATCATGCTTGGTCGGTTCAGTCACTGGCTGCGACCGGCGACGATGCTCTGAATCAACGGTCGGGTTTGGGTTCGTCGTAGCGTCCAATTGTATTTTTATTTTTTTTTGCACTTTAATCCCTGTCTTTAACAACCTATATCTAATTTATCTTTCTACTACTCTCTCCGTTATATAATAGATTATCTTTTGCGTTTTTCAAAATTATATGATTTTCTCACAAATCTATGTATAATTATTAAGATTTTTATTGATTTCAACAATTTATATTCTAGAAATTGTTAAATTGTGTTTATATTGATATTAAATGATATTTTTATATAAAATAACAAAATGAAATGATTTCTTCATCTGTGTATATTTTCTTAGAAGTCATCTATTATATAACAAAGACCATAGTATATAGATTCATCTCGTATTAATTATTAACCCTTATACATATTTAAATCTATCTGAAATCTATTTAACTTAGTTCATTTGAACCTATCATGACCTATTTACACTCATTTAATTTAAGTAATAAATAGACTTTTCATTTATTTTTTGTTAACTGTAACTTGTATGTGATTTAACCTTAATGTATTTTTTTTTCTTGTAAAATCATAAATATGGCGATTTTATGAAGACTTTAGGATCAAATAAATCTAAAATAGAAATCAACGATTTTGGCGCAATTTCCCTATAAATTTACGCTTACTTCAAAAAAATTATATTTTTCTTTGTCATTATCTTTATATACTATTTGAGAAATATATTAGAGGATGATATTTACATTTAACAACTGTATAGCTAAAACTGTGAAACTACTTTGCTTTTTCATATATATAAAAAATATTTGCTTATTAATATCATGAGAAATTTGAATTGCAAGGTTTTTCTGGCAAATGAAATAAAAAGAAAATAAATTGATATCAACAAAATGAAGTATTGGACTTATTCATAACCATATTTTAAGTCTTTAGATTTGTTCATTGCAAGTACAAAATTTCTGGGATTACAAAGTTTTTAACTTATGTAGATATAGAAATGTATTGAAATTTGTTATCATAATGTAGTGAAATTTGTTATCATAATTGTATTAGATTCGTACTCATGGATCCAAACATTATGATATATAGTTTGAACTAGATACAATCTCCAATCCAAAATTGAAAGAAAACAAAATCTAGTATTTTACATCGATTTAAATGTATTTGTATCACTCATAATAAAGATTTTAAAAATATTGTTGTAATTTGAGTTGGCTTTAAGTGTTCTACGTACTTATTACGTCTTGAACAAGATGAATTTAAACTAACAAAAACATTGTTCCGGTAAAACATAAATATATCTATCATTATCTGTCTATTTAATATGTGATGTTTTAAATATTATCGACATACTCCTTTCAAATTTTATGCAATCAAGCCTTATGATCAAGCATCGCGACTTCATGCAAACGAACGTAGTTATTATCCACTCCAAGATAGATTTCAGTATCTTGCCAACCATAAAAATAAATCACGGTCGTATGAATATGATCGATGAAATTCTAACATCTTAAAACATCAATCATTATGTAATATATGACTCAGTGACTCGTAGTTCTCCATCTATCCATAAGAAACCGCCAAAGCATGAACGAGATCACGTAAAGCTAAATTCCAACATAAAAGATTATCATTTTGATTTCTTAAATCTCCAACGGTAACTATTGTAATTTTATTCTTAAAACAATGTAAGTATATCAATATCACATAAGTAAAAATAATAATTTTTCTAATATATAAACTATAAAGGAAAACTTTAACTTTAGTTATCTAAAATAAAATTTCATATGTTAAGAAAAATAAATATATCATAGATAAGCATGGTCTATGCCTAATGGATCTAGTTGGTTTTGTGATTCAATTAAGAAACATTGTGTTATTTATATTTATTTTTTTAATGAGAAATAGTGTTGAATTTGTTGGTCTAGCACTAAAAACCATATTTGGATTACAATAATGGTACAGTAGTCCTAGTCAATTAAGAGATGGTCAATTAGAGAAAAATCTGATTATAGATTTAGAGTGTATTTTTTTCAATTAAGTGGTAATTGATGTTCTGTGACAAGTGGCAAATATTAATACACTCTTTCCTCAATATTATTTTTAATAAATACTAATACCTATTTTTAGGTTCAATGACAAACTTCAATTAAATTATAAATAAAAAAATCAACGGTTATTCTTCTTCAGTCATTCATCATCATCTCCGAGGTGGAATGAATGAGAAAAACATGGAGGTTTTGTGATAAACTAGTAGTGTCCATGAAAATTTAACATTGTTTTCTGGGTTTGGTTATATAGTTTTTGCTTACTCGGAGCTGTGTCTTGGTTTAACTGGGGAACTGATTAGATTAGTGGAATACATGGCTTCGTCCGAAATCGAGCCAGCTTTACCGGACTCGTCAGGATCATTGGTTTTGAGTAGAGCCGACGAGTCAGATCGTCGTTTCGCAAATCTCAGGGGAGTTCGGTGGCGTGTGAATCTCGGTGTTCTTCCGTCTTTCTCTTCTTCAATCGATGAATTTCGTAGAGAAGTAGCCACTTCTCGACGAAGGTACGTAGTAGTTGAACTGTTTCATAAACCCTAAAGCTCATATAGAGTAGAAAAAAACAAAACAGGATTTTGAGGATTTTAATGTTTGGAAATGACTGTTTTTTTTTTTCCGTTCATGTAGATATGCTCTTCTCAGGAGAAGTCTTTTGATCAATCCACAAGTACTCAAAGATGAATATAGTTCATCTAATTTCTCCATTGACAACCCCTTGTCGCAAAATCCGAGTAAGCTTTTGTTTCCTTTGCTCGCATTGTCATTGGACTGGTCTGATATGTTGGTCTTTGTTAACATAATGAGATGATTGTGTTTCCTTAAAAGATGGTTTTGTGTAAATTTCTATGCAGATAGTACATGGGGTCAATTCTTTCGTATCGCGGAGTTGGAGAAGACACTTGACCAAGACTTGTCGAGGTTATATCCAGAACACTGGTGTTATTTCCAAACGTCTGGCTGCCAAGGAATGCTGAGACGCATTCTCTTGTTGTGGTGCCTGAAACATCCCGAGTATGGTTATAGGCAAGGTACATGTTTGGTGCTTTTCTTTTGTTGTTGCTGTAACTTCCTTCTAAGAAGTCAATTGGTTATATATCATCTGCTTGGTCGTATATCTTTGTAGGAATGCATGAGCTTTTGGCACCTCTCCTTTATGTACTTCATGTTGATGCCATGCGTCTTTCTGAAGTGCGTAAAGACTATGAAGATTATTTTACCGATAGATTTGATGGTTTGTCTTTGGAGGAAAGAGATATCACTTGCACTTTTTATTTTAATAAGTTTATGGATTCCATGGACGATGGAACTGGTTCCCAGGGGTTTTCAAAGAAAATGAAAACATTCGATGAGCTTGATCCTGAAATCCAGTCCATTGTGATGTTGAGTGACGCTTATGGGGAAGAAAGTGAACTTGGCATTGTCTTGTCTGAAAAATTCATGGAACATGATGCTTACTGTATGTTTGATGCTCTAATGACTGGGAATCATGGATGTGTTTCCATGGCTAGCCTTTTTTGTTACTCTCCAGCCAGCGGATCTCACACTGGCTTGTCTCCAGTTCTTGAAGCTTGTACAGCATTTTATAGTCTCCTGGCTGTTGTTGATTCATCTCTGCATAGCCATCTAGTTGAACTGGGAGTTGAACCTCAGTACTTTGGTCTTCGTTGGTTGAGAGTTTTGTTTGGAAGGGAGTTTTCGCTTCAGGATCTCTTGTTAGTGTGGGACGAGATATTTTCAGCAGATAATAGTGCAAAGACGGATACAACTGATGATGATAGTAGAAACCACAGCTTTGGGATCGTTGAGTGCCCTCGGGGAACCTTAATCTTGGGAATGACTGTTTCGATGATATTATATTTAAGATCTTCCTTGCTTTCTACTGAGAATGCAACATGTTGTCTACAGAGACTGTTAAATTTTCCAGAGATTGTTGACCTGAATAAGATAATACAGAAGGCCAAGATGTTACAAGCTTTGGTTTTGGATACTGAGGTACAATCAGCTCTGTCAATAAATGATGTCTTTGACCAGAGTATGTACGGGCAAGAACTAAAAGTTTTCCATCTGGCTCCACTTCACCTAGATCTCCTTTGATTCTTGCACCTGAAAGCTATTGGGAGAAGAAATGGAGAGTTTTACACAAAGCCGAAGAAGAAGAAAGGCAAATTTGTTTGGAGGAACAGATTCCTGCAGCACAGAAGAAAAAGTGGTGGTCGAAAGTGACAAGACTTTTCGGAGCAGTGGGTGATCCATCACATCATAAGGCAGGAAATGTGAAAAAGGAAGCAAACTCATCTCCAGTGACACAAAGTTTGCTTGAAGATTTGTCTCAAGAGCTCAGTCCCAACCTAGAGGAAGCTAATAATTTGATAGATGATGATGGTCTTGTGACTATGAACATGGAAGACAACCCTCCTCAAGAAACTGTAGAAGGCATTATGGATGTTCATTCTGCTCATGAAGAGAGTTTTATAAATGGGAATTCACAGAGTGAGGAGAATGCATCTGCAGTCTCTTCAGACCCTACCAGTCCTGTCAGAGGTGGTTCAAACTACCTTGAGAACGGTTCAAATAGCAGTACTGGATTAAATTGTTCCTGATAAGAAAGGTAAAAGCATAGATTCACCCAGTGAAGAGAATTCATCTGTCTCCTCAGATCCAATCAGTCCTGCCATAGAGCCAAGTTACAGTGCAAATGATTCAGATTGCGGTACTGGTTCAAATCTGTCTCCTGATGGAAACTACCAAGATCCTCAAACAAGTTTCAGTTCACCTGTTTCTGTATCTCCCACTCCTAAAACTGAGAATCCAGTAACTCAGTCTGACGAAGACGATTCCAAATCTGTGGGCATTACGAAGGAGCACAAGGTTTTGCATGGCATAGCTAGGTGGTTTCGGAAGCTTAAACGCACCTTTTCTAGTGAGGAGATTTCTGATAGAAACGCTTCTGATGCCACAAAAACCAATGGTGAAATTAAAAATAATCAAATCGGTTGCTCTTCTGAGTCCCTCCCCCAAGCTTCATCTTCTAGCCAAAATGGAGACTCAGATCAGAATCTTATGAAGACTCTGAAGAACCTTGGCCAGTCCATGCTCAAACACATTCAGGTAATTTCTCATATCTATATTTTAATGGTTACCAGCATATTCAGAAAGATTATAAGTACAAATATAGTAAAATAATTTATTGAACTGGTAAAAGTATTTAACGTATAGTTCTCAAGATAACAAGTATGGTAGTTTCTTGCCTCCAGCGGTATTGGACTATTGTAAAAAATATACTTAGCCGTTTCCATGACAACTCTTTTCGGCTTATCTTATGATTTTTGCCTGTTTTATTTTCAGGTACTCGAGTTGGTTTTCCAACAAGAACCTGGTCGGGTTCAGGCAGAAATGGTAGGGAACTTAGCTAAACCCGATTTGATGATAAAGGGACAAGTCACAACTACAACAGCACTTAAGGAGCTTCGGAAGATCAGTAATGTGTTGTCAGAGATGTGAGGTGTAGGGTTTTCTCATTCCATTTAGCCCAGCTATGTATATACATTTTGAAAATGTCTATTGTTTTATGAGTAAAAATAACTAATAGGAGGCTATCTCTTTTCAGTCGAAGTGTGGTTAGAATGGTTTAATTTTGGTGTTAAGACTTATGATCAACTTCTTCACCATGTATTATATTAATGGACTTTTACATAAAAATAACAAATCTTCTTTTCGGCAAATTTGATGAAGAATCAAATAATGGTTTTGCATCATACGAAAGGGTGGGGCTTCAAAGTATATTTGTAGGGAGTTTTCTTAAGCTGTTCTAAAAGTACATCATGAGTTCTCTTCTAAGAAAAAGTGTTGCAGTACAGTTTCATACTAGAGTCATAATAAGTGAAACAATTAGTGGAAAAAGTTTCAGTTTCTTACACACTAGTTCAAGCCTACATTACAAGGACAATACATGTTCAAGTTCTTATTTAAACTGAAAAGGGATAATGATGAATACATCTTAATCTATGTTGTTGAAGTCAGGAACTAGTGAAGTTATGAATCCAAAAGCAACCATATATCTGAATCTCCTTCAGCATTCCCCACCATTGGTTCTCTACTTCAGGACCAACCACGTTTGCATTAGCTCAGTTCCTGCATCGTTCTCTTCCCTACCTTATCCTTCTACACATCATATAGAGAAGATTCTGTTATATCCTGTGCATGTAGCAATGGCTTCCCATGCAATAAGATTTGCATTTATATATAAAATATTGTACAAAATACGTTTGAGACAAAGTTGGTGATGTTGCGGCTCTATGCATGACTCTTGAAAGCCATAACACAAATGTTTGAAGGGCTTTATTATCTATCATGAGTCATGTACTTGACTTTTTTTAACACACAGAGAGAGAGAGAGGGACTTTGATTAACAAAAGAATTATTGAACTCTCGACAAAATGCTAAACCAAAACCCTAGCCAAGTCTAGCTTACTTCCTTTTATAACCTGTTAACTATCAGTAACCAACACATAGGAAAAGACTTGTCATATACTCATATGAAAAATAGATGCCTAGATATTCACCTATTCAAAGATTTTGTTATCTTTCTTCCATTTTTTTTTTTTTCGCCAGTTATCTTTCTTTCATATATACGTCAATACTCAATACCAGTTATTTTCCTTCATAGCTACTGATTAGATGTAACTCAGCACTATGAGCTATATAGAAGCAATCAAGCAATCAGAAGAGACTATATGTATGTGTAACGTACGTGGGAATAAGATTATTTGACGACAGACCTGCAGCAACATGTCCTGCAAATGTATGAGTATGACCAGGATCAATGCAATATGTAGAGACCCATACTAATTAATATTTTAAACAACATATATAACATCCCAACAAATAACATGTATATTTAAAATTTCCCGTGTAAACTCATTTATGTATCTAACAAAAAAAAACCGATAATTAAATTAATTAAATAATGTGTACAACGAACTTATTTATGTATTTTATTTTTTGAAAGAAAAAAACAATCTTGCATAGAACTTTAATTTTGGTATTTTCATCTAAAAGAAAAAAGAAAAAAAATTGATACTGGAGGTTATATTTCACAAAATTAAAAAAAAAATAAAGAAAAAAACTTATTAGTGATATTTCATCTAAACTTTATTGTTTTTTGGTAACATATTTTTATTAGTGATATTTCACCCCAAAAAAAAAAAAAAAAAAAAAAAACTTACTAGTGATAAGATTGTATACCTAAATAGTGAAGACAACTTATGGTAAAAACACCCAAGTAGTCTCAATAGTTTGACTAACTTCTCAATGGACCAATAAAAATCACAATATCCTTTAATAGTCAATCTTTTCTTACAACAATTTTAATTTTTGCCAAAAGAAATTAAAAAAGTTTCCAACAAAGAGAACCGGGTCAACCCAAAATAAAAGAGCCTTTTATATGCATAGAAATCTCATCAGGAATAAATCCAACAACAGGCAACCACACACACACACAAAACAAAACTCACCATCTCTCGAGGGGTACGTGCAAACCCCAACACCAAAGCACAAATCTTGATTTGGTTCTTTCAGCTACACTTCCGTAGCAAATCAGAATCTCTCTCACTCTTTACCTACTTTTCCGGTAAACGTTTTGTATTTAATTAAATTCATTTTAAGGTTATAATGTAACACTAGATCTTGTGTAATAAAGAGCTCAACCATAGATTACATAATATAGAACTCGATCTAGTTGGATTTTTGCCTTCCAAAAACCATTGTTATAACTTATTTTGATTATTCTATGTCCTCTTCTTTGTATGATTACGTTTGTGGAAACTGTCCTAAGTAAATTTTTGCTAATATGAATTTGTTCTTTGCAATTGACAAGTCATATACATCTCCAATCAACAAGAGCAGTTGCAATTGTCTATGGTAGTTGTTTTCATGAGTTTATGGCTTTAGTCTTGAGATTAGTTATAAATTCAGTCATGATGTAACATTTTCAAGAAATATTTAGATTGGATGTATCCTTTGTATAGATTCGATTACTGTTTAAATCTGTATTTTGACTACGAGATTTGATTACTGTTTAAATCTGGATTTTGACTATCCGTAGAATCATGGAATGACAAAATCATTTAGCGAGATTTTAACCAATCATATCACGATTCCTGTCATTTATTATTGTTTACTTCACGCGCTTTGTAACAGTATTACTAGTCAAAGTCTTTAATATGATATGATGTATTGTTTTGGAAAAGACTTATTATATATATCTTTGTTGTTGTCTTTGTTTATCTATGCTTGTAGTAAGAATCATGACGTCCGGAGCCGCATGGAATCCTGAACACCACAAAGTATTTGTGGACTTGTGCGTCGTTCAAAAGATATCGAACAGTCCACTTGGAATGGAGCATATGTTGGAACGTTTTCAGGAAAGGACGGGAGTGAGCTTCAGCATGGAAGATCTTACGAATCATTGGGATACAATGGTCAAGCAGTGGACGGTATGGTCTAGGCTTATTGAATGCCAAGATATGAAATGGGATCCCAAGACAAACACGTTTGGAGCCAGTGAACAAGAATGGGCCAACTACTTACAGGTACAACTTAACAACATTAACTGTTTCTTGTCTGTTTGTTTATGAAGGCTAATATATATATGTTATATTGTGACAGGTGAATCCTGAGGCTGGGGAGTATCGGTGCAATCCTCCATCGTTCCACAAGGAACTAGATATCATCTTTTCAGTGAGTTACTTGGATGGTGAAGGAACTTCAGGTGGTAGCAGCCAAAGGATGCAGATATGCAAGCCTCTTGACGAAAACAATGATACTAGTGGAGTTGAAGCTACGCTACCCGTGTCTAATGTCCCGGTCGCCGCCACTCGTCGTCCTCCTCCTCGTACTCATCGGTCTAAGTGGTCATCAACCACACATGCGGTTTTTATCGACTTCTGTTACAAAGAGTATCTAAAAGGAAACACACCGACCAAATTTCACGGAGCCTATTCAAAGGAGACTTGGCAAATGATGCTTGAGACGGTCAATCGTAGCGCTAAAGGGGTAGGCTACACACTAACCCAAATCAAGAACCATTGGGAAGTTATCAGGAGAAAGTGGAAGCTCTGGTGTCAACTTATTGAATCTCCCAGCATGAAGTGGGATCCCATCACTCGCAAGTTTGGAGCAACGGACGAGGACTGGGATAACTTCTTGAAGGTAAACTAAAAACGTTACGTAGCTCACAATTACTTGCATGCAGCTTGTGAATGAATATATATATATATAACAATTAATATTGAATGTTTTTTTTGTTCTTGGTCGATTTATAGGGACATGGTAAAGCTGCACCATTCAAACGGAAAAATATGGCTCACGCTGATAAACTTGCAACCATCTTCAAAGGACGTATCGAGCCAGGATTTTTCATAGCGCGTCCTCATGACAAGAGAGTAACCGATCATGACCATGAACCAACTCAACCAGCAGCAGTCCAAACAAACAATATAGCTGAGGATGATGATGATGATGACGATGATGATGATGGTCGTGAGCCTACTCCGCTGATTAGGTCAGACTCAGAGGAAGCTGATTACGCTATGATTATGGAATGTCAAAAGTACGCTACCGGGCAGGTGGAGATTGTTCCGGTCAAGAAGGAGTATAGCATTGAAAAATGCATGGAGTATCTGAACGCCATGGAGGAGGTTGAGAAAGGAAGTGAGCTGTACATGTTTGCTTTGGATCTGTTTCTGACGAAAATGTACAGAGAGATCTTCGTGCTGTTGGAAACCTCAAGTCTGAGGATGACTTGGCTGCTTAGGCGTCAATCTACTGGCACTGCTGCCTAAACGATCCATCCTCTTTTTATATTCTCCCAAACTTCTGCTGAACCTTTGAATTTATCTTTTCAAGAAACTATATCTTTCATGTTTAGGATTTATGGTTATTATTATGCAAAACTCTTTTTTTTTTACTCTTTTCTTAATTATTATACTCTCTAATATTGGAGAGTAATCTAGAGAACTCAATAGTGTGAGATCATCTTTATTTTCAATTTATGACTTGGGAGATCTCAATGGCTAATTTTCTTATTCTAGAGCTCTTCTTAAGTTACATTTTCTTGGTCAACACGTTATCATAAATATTATTTCTAAATGTCAAGTATATCCAAAAAAGTAACACCACGTCATCACGCTCGTGGAAATAATAAACTGGTTTAATAGTTTTGGGTTATTTCTCAATAAACCCTTCATCTTTTTAAATGTCTCGTACATGGACCTAAATTTTGTTTCGTGTCAAACTATCTTGATTTTTTCAACTGGTAGGTCGTATCACTGAATCAGAAACCCCCAAATACAGAGCTTCGTAAATCATTTCGCAAAATCAATTCCGTTACATAATTTAATCATTTCGTAAATCATTTGGTCTGTGGTCTGAATCAATGAATTGCTATTTCGATAATTGGGGTTTGTACGAAAATGCCGACTCTAAGGTTCTGTATTCTAAGATCAGGAAGTGTTGCATTGTCAAAAGATCGAACCTTTTAAGGTCATAGATGATCCTAACTGTCCAATTTGATGCTTGTCTTGCAAGTCATTATATCTTGTTTCATAAATCCCATGTTTCCGTTTAAGGGTTAAAGTGGATTTGAATCGTCTATCAGATGTCAAAACTTGTGATGTTCTCTCTTGTGACTGATTCATGTTGGGAGATTGATTTTAGCTTTGTTTATGTTATTTTCAGTTTCTTTATGTTTATCTACAAACTTAGTTTGACACTTTCATTGTCAACTAATCATGAGAACTCATTCTTTGGTTATAAAACAATTAGCCCACTTGAAGATTTGTCAACTGACAAAAGACCACTTGAAGTCGTCCTTGTGTACGAATCACAACTTGCCCCTTTTGACTTGAGATTTGTTTTTTAGCTATTTGATTTCAAGAGTTAGTGCTTCACCATCAGCCAACATGGCTATATAGTATAATCTTTACTAGTAAAGTATTTGGAGCAAGAAACAAGCTTTACAAAAGAGGCTTGTATTGAATTTTCTATGAGAAACGGCTGATCAAAGAGTTTTTGTCACTAATGGCGTATTACAACCTTCTTCAGCTGATTTTATTTGCGAGCTTCTTTGCTATTTTTGTTCTTCTTGTTCGTGCTCAAGATCAATCAGGTACAAGTAGTCTTGCAATTGTATAAATAAGGATGTGTTTTTTTTAAGGCTTTAAATCTCTATGTTTGTGTTTATGTTACAGGTTTTGTCAGTATAGATTGTGGTATACCAAAGGATTCAAGTTATAATGATGAAACAACAGACATAAAGTACATTTCAGATGCTGCATTTGTCGAGTCTGGGACAATTCATAGCATAGATTCTAAGTTTCAGTCGAGTTCTCTTGAAAAGCAGTTCCAAAACGTTAGGAGTTTTCCTGAAGGCAAGAGAAACTGTTACGATGTCCAGCCTCCGCGAGGAGTAGGCTTCAAGTATTTGATCAGAACCCGTTTCATGTACGGTAACTACGATGATCTAGGGAAAGCACCCGAGTTCGATCTTTATCTTGGAGTCAATCTCTGGGATTCTGTTACCATAGATAATGCAACTATGATTGTTACCAAAGAGATCATCCACACTCTTCGGTCAGACCATGTTCATGTGTGTCTTGTTGATAAAGATAAAGGCACTCCATTCTTGTCTGTGCTAGAACTCAGGCTCTTGAAGAGCGACATTTATGTGAATCCTTATGATTCTATTATGCTGTATCGAAGATGGGATCTCGGGGCACTTGGAGACCTTCCTATCAGGTTATATTTATTGACTCTTGCTATATTGGTTTCATATAATATACCATCTCTTGGTTTGCTTATCTTTGAAGATTATGTTTTCTCAGGTACAAAGATGATGTGTATGACCGTATATGGATGCCTCTAAGGTTCTCAAATCATAGAGTTTTCAGTACAAACCTCACAATAGATTCGAATATTAACAACGGATTCCAGCCTGCTCGTGTCGTCATGAACACTGCTACAACAAATTTGAATGCAAGCATAGACATAATTCTCATATGGGAACCGCCTGTCCCGCAGTGGAAGTTCTATATGTACATGCATTTTTCTGAAGTTCAAGACATCCCTAGCAACGAGACGAGAGAATTTGCGTTGTTTTGGAATGAAAAAACTAAACTGTATGATAACTTTAGCCCTCGCTTCTTGTATACAGACACACTTTACACTCAGAATCCTGTAACCGGACCCAGACACGAGTTTCTTCTCCAACGAACTGCTAAATCTACTCTTCCACCCATTGTTAACGCCATTGAGACGTATCGTGTCAATGAGTTTCTGCAGTCACCTACTGATCAACAAGATGGTATATATGGTTTCATTTTCAGAAACAGAATTTTATAGTTTGAACTTATCCATGTTTTGTTTGAATTCTAGTTGATCCAATCATGAGAATCAAGTCCAAGTATGGAGTGAAGAAGAGCTGGCTTGGAGACCCTTGTGCTCCTGTAAACTACCCGTGGGAGGATATTAACTGCAGCTACGTCGATAATGAGTCTCCGAGAATAATTTCTGTGTAAGCTCCTATTCAAATGATTGTATTTGTTTTTTTTTTTCTCTCTGTCTTGTTCTCACAAGAGTTGTTTGATCTTCAGGAATTTATCTTCAAGTGGCTTGACTGGAGAGATTGATCCAGCGTTCTCCAACCTTACATTGTTACATATACTGTATGTCTTCTAGATTTGATCTGAATCTTTAGTAGACAGAGTTGTGGAATCCTTAAAATGACAGAAACCAAAATTTTGTTACAGGGACTTATCAAACAACAGTTTAACAGGAAATATACCTGATTTCCTCGGTAATCTACATAACTTGACAGAGTTGTAAGTATACTAATTGGAATTGTAGATTACATAGACAATGAAATTTATAATAACTAGAAGAGTATATGTTGATATCACATATATGTCTGTAGAAACTTGGAAGGAAACAAGTTGACGGGTGTTGTTCCGGTTAAACTACTTGAAAGATCAAACGCTAATATGCTTAAGCTAAGGTTGGTTCAGTATATTTGGCTTTTCAACAATCATTGTAGATGCTCTGCATCTATTGAACCAATTCTATACGTTTAGGCCCTATTGAGTTCATATTTTCATAATGTCTTCTGCATTTTGATCGACAGAGTTGGTGGGAATCCTGACCTCTGCGTGTCTGCTTCATGTCAAATTCCAAATGAGAAGGCAAAAAAGAGTGTATATATCATTCCATTAGTAGCATCTGTAGCGGGAGTGCTTGGTCTTGTGATAGCAATAGCTTTGTTCTTACAGTATAAGAAGAGACATCGTAGCGGTAAAAACATCAAGAAACTATCCTAAATTGTTTCCTGTTTGATTCCTAAGTTCACTTGTAAGAAAACTTCTCATAAGATCTTTACAGGCAGTTCTGGTGGTGTTAGGACTGGGCCATTGGACACAACGAAGCGATACTACAAATACTCAGAAGTTGTGAGACTTACAAACAACTTTGAGAGAGTTCTTGGACAAGGAGGTTTCGGAAAAGTATATCATGGTGTCTTAAATGATGACCAAGTCGCTGTCAAGATTCTCTCTGAATCATCGGCTCAAGGATACAAAGAGTTCAGAGCCGAGGTCAGTTTCTCACATACTATATTAAAGGTTTAGTATGTGCTAAAATGAGTTCAGCTGGAGTGATTGGAATTATGCATCCTCTTGTTTATCATCAGGTCGAACTTCTCTTGAGAGTTCATCACAAGAACCTAACCGCTCTTGTCGGATACTGCAATGAAGGCAAGAAGATGGCCCTTATCTATGAGTTTATGGCTAATGGAACTTTGGGAGATTACTTGTCAGGTCAGTCTCTCTTCTGCTTAGTTTTGATCACTAATCTTTTGCTGTTGTAGCTAGAGGAAACTAAAATTAGCATTTGGTTTCTTTCATAATCAAGGTAAAAAATCTCATGTCTTGAGCTGGGAGGAGAGGTTACAAATATCATTAGACGCAGCACAAGGTTTGCATAAAAAACAAATACCAGACTAAAAAAAAAGAAAAAAAATCAAATCATATTCACAATATGTTTGTCTAATACTCAGGGCTTGAGTATCTTCACAATGGATGTAAACCTCCCATTGTACAAAGAGATGTGAAACCAGCTAATATTCTAATCAACGAGAAGCTCCAAGCCAAGATTGCTGACTTTGGGTTATCTAGAAGTGTCGCACTGGACGGTAATAACCAGGATACAACCGCTGTTGCTGGAACAATCGGTTATCTCGATCCCGAGTAAGTAAAAGTCTTCTTCTGTTGTCTTTTGGTATTACAGTTTTTGCAGTTTCTGACGCAATATTTTACACATTGAAGGTACCATTCGACGCAGAAATTAAGCGAGAAGAGTGATGTTTACAGCTTCGGGGTAGTTCTTTTAGAGGTTGTCACTGGCCAACCAGTGATTGCACGTTCAAGAACAACAGCAGAGAACATACACATAACTGACCGGGTGGAGTCACTGCTGTCGACAGGAGATATTAGAGGCATTTTGGATCCAAAGCTAGGAGAGAGGTTTGATGCTGGTTCGGCATGGAAGATCACTGAAGTAGCAATGGCTTGTGCATCTCCCAGTTCCAAGAATAGACCAACGATGAGTCAGGTAGTCGCTGAGCTGAAGAAGAGTGTAAGCAGAGCAAGAGCAGGTGGTGGTTCTGGCGCTAGTAGTGTTACAGAGCCAGCAATGACAAATTTTGATTCGGGAATGTTTCCTCAAGCAAGGTAAATGGTTTCTTGGATTCATCTGTTTCTTATTTCCAGAAACTGGGAAGTTGTGTATTGTTTGGAGTGTAATAATGAAGAAGAAGAACAACAACAAAGTTGAGTTGTGTAATACGTATCATTTAATACAAATGTTGGATATATAAAACAAAAAGTGAAATCATGCATCATCACATTAGAGAGTAATAATTTCTCACAAAAGTTAGTAATATTAATCAATATGAGTCATATGTATATAACATTCACCATTCATGTTATAAAAGATTCAGTTTTTCTTCAGTCATAGCATTCATGTTACAAATGAATCGGAGATTGTAAGTGTTTCATTCACCCCTCCTCAAATCTCTAATCCCTAAAAAACGATGTGCTTCTCCACACTAATCACGGCACATCAAATTCTCTTGCAGAGCTATTTTTGCTAGCGTCTTCCCCGCCACTAGAAACAAGAGTAACCGTGGCTCGTCGGGGACGAGTCGTCCCACAAAATTACAAATTTCCCACCATGGTTACTTGGGTTAGCTAACTGAATTGTTGAAGGACGCTTAACATACAGATCTTCCAAAGCCTCAACCACTAACCAGATTCTACACTCTTGTGGTAATACCGCATCAACTTACTTAAGACTAAACTTTATCATTTTCTCCCTTATAACAAACCAGTTTTTAGCTGGCACATGCGGAAAGCTCTGTGGGAAAATACAGTTCTTGATCACACATAGGATAGTCCTTAATCGCAACTTAGCAAACAAAGGCTTTGACATAATAAAAGCAATGAACTCAATACACAATATTGGCCACAAGAATGCAACTATCGTTTTTTGCAACCTCCAAGAAAGCAATTAACAAGATTGGAGAAAACAAACATAACATGCGAAAATGCCCGTATGGAGGTTTAGAAAGATTGTTATAATGGTTAAACTCAAGTATCACCATAAACTCTTGGCTAAAACGTGGGAAAAGCCCCCAAAGCTAATCACATATTAAGTAAATTTTAAAATATATATAAAGTCAACAAGGCATTAATAAGTCAGCCAAAGATCATACAACTTCATGGTTTGCAACCATCTATGTACAACTGAGTTTCAGTCTTTTCAGTCTTTTCAGTCACAATCTGTTTATCCAAGCATGTCCTGTATGTGCAAGGGGAACATACTTCATCGGTATTTCAGATCGATAATGATGAGGGAAAACTTCTTTACGATAAGATACGATGTAATTACCTGCCCTCATGCTCGAAAGGTATCGATCAATCATTCTTCCCCATCTTCAGGTTTAAAAGAGTAAATCGGATCTGGATAATGTGCTAGCTTGACTTCCAGCATCTCATTCCCCGGGATTTTCAACTCCATGGTAGCTTCCACCTCTTGTGTATCATCTTTAACAATTCCATATATATAAACAAACAAAGCACACCATATATCATAAGCAAATTAACCATAACATATAAAGTAAACAACAGCTAAATCATATCTTTCATTCAAAAAACGAGACTCAGAACAACAAAACAAATCAGCTCCACTAGATTTAAGAATCCTAAATTACCAAACTAAACTGTTCACAATTTGTCTTCCCTATCCCCTTCACAACCTAAACGCATTCACCCTAGCTAGGAAGAGTCCCAAGATTCTGAATTTACCTCAAGTGATTGATAACAAAACCCCTCATAAAATTGGTTTTATAGACTTATTAAACACACAAACCCCAAATACATGTGAAACCCATGATCTAGCTATGACGATCATATCCCAAGGCAAATTCACGAATTTTAGAAGAAAATGAAATTGGGGAGCAATACCTGGAGGAGGAATGAAGAAAGAGGAACAAGGCCAACCATAAGGAGACGAAAGAGAAAGAGACTCTTCCTCGGTCAACGGATTAGTCACCTTATCGACCAAATTCGCGATCTTCGTAGCCGTGATCTGATGTGGCGGTACCCAAAAGGAGGAGCCAGGTGCGAAAGGGAGCCAATCCGGAGTCGAGTTATGAACGATAATCCTCCGAACGAATTCGTTGAGTTTCTTGAGAATCGCGGCTTCTGCTTCGGTTTTAGAATCGATGTCAATCTCGATGACTTGTGGTATCGATGAGAAGCGGCGGCTGAAACAGACGAGGTTTGGTGGTGCCGCCGTCGTCGTGATCTTCGGCTTGTTGAAACGATGGAGGAAGAATCTTCCGGTGGGGATTAGGGTTTTTGAGAGCAATCGAGACATTATGAGAGAGAGTAGAAAGAGGAAGATGGAAGCCTTTTTTTTTATTTTTTTACATTTATAAACAAGGAGAGAGTAAAGGCGGTTTCACAAACGGGTACAAAATGGGATCCGAGTCCGTAAGATCCGATCCAATTATAGAAGAAGAAAAAAAAGAGAAAAAAACAAATAAGTGAAATAACATACCAAAATAATAGGAAAAATTCCAATCTCCATATAGTTTTAATACATAATATTATTTGATTAGAAATAAAATGCATGTTTTATTAAATTGTTTTTTATTAATACATTAAATATATAGAAATTGTCGAATCGAATAAACCGTTTAACCGACGTTAATCGGATTGACGAAATCACTAAATTGGGGTTGGCAGAATCACTAATCCCTAAACATATGGGTAATTTGGGGTTATCAAAAGACTACAATGTCCTTTGTTATTACCCCAAATCAAATTGGAATCGATAAACCCTAAATTTAGTGTATTCCATTAACCTCGGTTTAATGATTCTGTCAATCCGATTATCGTTTGTTAAACGGTTTGTTCGATTCGACAATTTTTATATACTTAATATATTAATAGACAATAATTTCATAAATAATACATTTTATTTACAATCAAATAATAATGGGTATTAAACTTCCTAATTTTAGGAGAATTTTTATGGATTTTTTACTCTAGATTTCAAACAAGCTCAACTCCAAGAAAAACATTCCCCCTATGTTTTGTGATTCCATTTCTACAAAAATTTCAAATCGTTTTCAAAAATTATTAGAGCAAACCCCAAATATTAAAAGAAAAATGGAAAAAGCGAGAATCTAACAAAGAAGAGTAGATTGGGCTTGAAATGGGTAACAATAGGATTGATCAGATCCGGTGGCTCTAAAGTGTTAATTGAAGACTGAAGAAGAATAAGTCTTGTTGGTAGATGCAATTTGCAGGATTCGCTGACCCAATAATATTTTGCTGATGACATATATATACAAGTTTCCAAATGTAATATATATATGTGCTCATGTGTACGTAAATGCACGTGAATATGGGAGATTTGTGAGTCCACATGCATGTCATAAAGTGTTTGTTTATATTATGCACGTGAATGTGTAGAGTTTATAGTTGTAAGTCATATCATAATAATGCTATATATAATATATGTCACAATGATATATCATATATATATGGATATGGTTATTAAACGACTAAAACTCCCCCACCATTAACCAAAGAGTGGGGTTGATCTTGATTCTTGAGGCCAATCCTATATTTTTGGGGACTTGCATGGTTTCTTATTTTGATCTTCCACTTGAAAAAGAAAACTGTTCTTCAATACATTACTTTTATTTCAATTTTCAAGGATATAAATATCTTCGATTTATATTGTGACTGATTTATGTGATGTTTAATTAATGGTTTTATATTGTATTATGTAAATATTCAAAATAAATATTCTTTTCTTTATACTATCCGGAATTCACGACTGGATTATCAGGAATGCATTATTATTATATATTTTTAAAAATAATAAAAATAAGCAAAACATAAGAACAATATAAGAAAAATATAAGCAAAAATATTATAGTATATGAGCAAATAAATAGAAAGTATATAGATAATAATAAAGTTATTGGTTTAAATTATGAAATGAATATTCAAGTTAAAATTTATTACGAAAAAACTACTAGGATTTGCAGCATTCCGGTATTTGAAATGTTTTACTGTACTTAAGTCGTTGAAAATAGAAGACACGTAAAATGCTTTCACTACAAAAAAAAAATGACCATTTAGTATCATTTCATTATAAAATTTTATGGAAACTGAACTAGGTGCTTTCATTGATCCTAGCGGCTGGCTTGCATGGAACAGTTCGATGGATCCGCCTCCTCCAACAGTTTCATTAGGGGAGTTCAGTTGTGACTAATAGAGTGAAGTGGGTTGGGTATAACCTGGAGATGACGGATGAGGAGGCCGGAACGTTTAGTATTGATGCGTTAATCAACCAAGAAAAAAGGTTGGTTAAACCAAACATGTATGGTTACCTCATTAGTTATGGTTCTCTCAAAGAGAGTTAAATGTTTGTATGTTTGATTAAAACAATAAAATGTAGATTGAAAGCTCAATACAATCTAAAAGAATCTTGGTTTGTGAAAATGTAATTTAGGTTTTTGCATATGTGTGTGTGTGAAGCTAAAAAAGAGGAGGTCCACATAAAATGCTATGATGATATTTTATGCAGCATCACATATAGATCAAATAACTACTGCACCTTATCTTTTATACGTAGGGGTGATCATGAGTTGTATTATGATCAAACATGCATTGCATATTTAGTATTTTCTGAAGAACGTAACTAAGGAATTGCTTTTCATAAGCGAAACACGTTGCTTCGAAATCACATTTGAGATTAATTATGAGTTCTCTTTTTAATATCTTCGCGATCAAGGCAAAATGCCTTTATTTACATGATTATCATCTAATATATATATTTTTCAAATATGCAAGTTGTGATACTTTTTTATGTACATACTATCTCTCTATATATGGAGAATTTTTTTATAGTATATGAGATGTGTTGTTTTTTATAATATATTATACAATATTGTACTCAATGATCAGTATTGTAAGAATATATAAATGGATACAACTTTTTTTGACCTGATTTTTTATAACATGTGTTGTACAATTTTGTATTTAATCCGTATTAAGTAAAACTAATTAATACATATATAATTCGTTGCACGCGTATACATGAAATTTGTGGGAAAAGAAAAGCTGACATTATAAGAGATTTTTTTGTTTTCTCACTACACTACTTAATAATAGGAAATATATAAATTGTAAAGAGTCACGAAAAGTTAACAGATACAATTTGGTTTGTAGCAAAATTGTCTTTTCCTAACGGAAAGGTAATTTCGAAGTCCCTTTCACTAAGATCAACCAGAGTTCCTATGATTCTAAACCGAAAATAAAACACAAACCGAAATGAAAACATATATTACATTACAAAATAAATTTAAGTCAATAAGATCGCAAAGGCTTCATTTAGTTAAAGTTGTGTTGAATACTTCACCAAATTAGTTAATTAATAGTTATAATACATTTGGTTTGTCCACCACTTCAATATCCTTAATCCCATTTGGCATCAAAACAACTTACTCTGTCATAGTTCTCAAAAGAAAGATACTTTCTTAGCTACTCGATCCGCCATTCCATTACATCTCAGGCAAGTAAACCACTCTGGCAAAAAGCTAGCTGCTGCATTCATCATTGTTAAGAAAAATTAACCACCTTCGTTGATTCTGATTCAAAAATGATCGATCTAATATTAAGAATCTAAACAATGTAAGTATGGACTACGTACCTCTCTCATCAGTGGCGGACCTATTCACAAGTTAGGGAGGTCAGCTGACCTGGTGACTTTTTTAAATTTTCCTTGTTATTACTAAGAACAAACACATTTACCAAAAAAATTTGTTGTATCTTTACTTATACTTGACCTGGTTCAAAATCCATCCTGGGTCCGCTATTGCCTCCCATAATTGCATACAATTCAATCTCGAAGACAAATCTGGTTCTTCTAATTTTAGCTCTTAATTACTCCAAAACAAAACAAAAAACATAAATTAAACGTAGCATAGAAAATCATACTATCAAACAATAAGAAATTATGCGGACTAAACTACCATCTTTAGTTTTGTGGGAAAAATGACCCCTTCACTTCAAAACATCATAATGTACACAAACGACAAAGATACCCTACGTACTATTTAACAGATCCAATAAAATAGTTTGTATTTCATTTTAAAAGACCCTATATTTATATTTTGAAAAGAAAGCAAAAAAAAACCCATCAGTAAGTGTATATACTATACAATATATCTCATTACAAGAAAGGTAAAAGAGAGATTGCGGCATCGCTATCATGATTGCCAGAACTATTTGTCTCATGCATGGTGTGTGTGGCTACGTCGACGATACATCAGTACACTATCTTTAACCAAAGAAAAATAATTGAGTTACTAGCTATATTAAGAAAATGAATATACGAATTTACATTGTTTGTCTTAGAGTAAGAATCATTTAATAATATTTGGACAACGCAAAAAAAAAAATGACTTGGACGACACATGCATGGTGTGTTTGAGACTAGACGACATTTTTGAGGGAACAATACTCACATGTGCTTTCAGATTGTTATACTTTAAACTGCCATATACCTCCAATAATTCGTAACTTAGATTCATCGTGCTTAAAATGAATTCTTTATCAATACAATACACAAGATATTTGTCAATATATATTTTACGTATATATATTGCTGTACAAAGTAACTCAGAATATATATATCGTATACTACTTTTTCTTTGGGCGTACTCGAGTGAGTATAGGATTATAGGAATGTCACGGCCAAAGGTCGAGTTTTGGGGTCTATGTACGTACATAAGAATTTCTTATGAGCCATATATAATTGGACAAGTCATCTAGCTTGGATTGTACATAAGAATTTCGTATGAGCCATATATAATTGGACAAGTCATCTAGCTTGGATTGTACACAAGAATTTCGTATGAGCCATATATAATTGGACAAGACTTTACGTGTCTTCATATCATCTTGATCATCATGTCTATTACCTAGCTAGGTTGCAATACTGTAGATAAGAATCATACGAGACGTCAAACATTAGTTAGAGGTCGTGAGTAGTGACAGTTACATTGTTTTACTACTCTCCTTAGCTTAGGGGTCATTGTAAAGGTCATGTGAACTGAAAGAGAAGTGATTCAATCAAGTAAACAATAATCTCTCTACATTCTAAAACTTTTTTTTCTTTTTCTTTTTTTGATTATCAGGAGGTTCGGGCCTTAGGCCGTAATCCCTCTAGGCCCCGGGGAATACCATGTGAAAACCCCTGGCCAAATAGAAATATCTAATGATTTCGTGTTTGAGGGGAATCGATCCATGGCATACACCAACTGAACAACTCCTCACTCAAATGAAAACTTTATTTATATTATTTGTTAACAAATTTCTTATAATA